TTTGTGTAGACTGAGAAAAGCACTGGAGACAAAACACAGCCTTGTGGCAGTCCAATGCTAATGACACTTTTCGTGGATTTTAATCCTCTTAAAAACACTTGTTGTGGCCTGTCTTTCAAAAAGTTGTGGATCCATAAAAGCAGCTTTATGTGGAGATTGAGATCTGAAAGCTGTTCCAGCAAAATGCTGGTGTCTACTGTATTAAATGCAGAAGAAAAATCCATGAATAAGATTCTTGTGTATGGTTGTGTAGAGTCCATGTGTTTAGTGACAGCATTTAGAAGTGTGAGACTTGCATCCTCTACACCATGTCCTGCCTTGTAAGCAAACTGTAGGGGATCCAGCTGGTCCGAGATGAATTTTGTCAAGTATCCCCCCCACTACCCTTTCCATGCACTTGCACAGAACTGATGTAAGGGCCACAGGTCTAAAGTCCCCCAGTTCTTTTGCATGAGCTTTCTTGGGGATCGGAATTATCACAGATTCTTTCCATTGCCCTGGAACGCAGCCAACGTCCAGAAGGAGCTGGAAGAGTCTGGTGAGTACCCCACCTAGCTGGGTGGAGCATTCTTTCAGAAGCCTGCCACGGAGCCCATCAGGGCCAGAGCTCTTGTATGGGTTGATGCAGCGCAGGATGGTGGTGACCTCCTCCTCGCTGATGGTTATCGCTGGTTCAGTGAGGCTGTGGGTGGGGGATGGGCACAGGTGGAAAGAGGGTGAACGCTGTTGAAGCGGGCCAAAAAGACGTTCAGCTGTTCTGCCAACGAGATGGAGTCATTTCAGTTGACTTGCGGGATCTCAGGGTCTCTTCCCATCATGATGTTCAGGCCCTGCCATGCCTTACGAGCATTTTCAGATGTGAGTTGGTGCTCCACATTCTGTGTTTGTTTCCTTTTTGCAAGGATGGCTTTCCTCTGAAAGTCTTTCTCCAGCACCCTCACATGCTCATGGTCCTTCTGAAGGAAGGCCCGTTTCTTCTCCACGAGGCACATTTTAAGTTCCTTTGTGATCCACTTTTTGTTGTTTGGATGTATTTTTATTTGCTTGGTAGTGGTGACTATTTCTTCGCAAAAGAGAATATATGAGGTCATTACCTCTGTCAACATATTCAGATTGTTTCCACTGTAAGTAAGTAAGTAAGAAAGAAAGTAAGTAAAGTTTATTTATATAGCGCCTTTCACAGATATAAATCACAAAGAGCTGTACAACATGAGTAAAATCAGGGCAAATACCTCAAACCAATAAAAAACATTATAAATACAATAGCAGTGACAACAATAGTAACCAAAATCAGGAGTAAAAACAAAGTGAAGGTGTGAACAAGAACAAAGCCATCTTTTAGAATACTTAGCGGGGGAAAGCCTGGATGAAAAGGTGAGTTTTAAGATGTTTTTTGAAGACCTCTACAGATTTCAAGAGACGGAGATTTGGAGGCAGCCTGTTCCAAAGTCTGGGGGCAATAGATTGAAAGGCCCTGTCCCCTTTGGTTTTTAGTCTGGTTCGAGGAACAGTCAGGAGGTTTTCAGATGTGGATCGGAGGTTCCGAGAGGTGGTGTGTGGGGATAAAAGCTCAGATAGGTATCTTGGAGCCTGGTTGTTAAGAGCTCTATAGGTCAGCACTAAAACTTTAAACTGTATTCTATATTCTACCGGGAGCCAGTGGAGGGACTGTAAAACTGGGGTGATGTGTGCTCGTCTGCTGGATTTGGTTAGGAGTCTGGCTGCTGCACTTTGGATGGCTAGAAGGCGTGAGAGGGAGGTTTTGCTGAGACCAGTAAAAAGAGCGTTACAGTAGTCTAAGCGTGATGACACAAAGGCATGGATGATTTTTTCCAGATCTGCAGTAGAAACCAGTTTACGGACTTTTGAAATGTTTCTCAGTTGGAAGAAACAAGAGCGGGAGATGGTTTTGACGTGTGAGTCTAAACTTAAAGCTGGATCAAAAATAACTCCTAGGTTTCTAATGTTGGCCTTGGCTGATGGGCAAAAAGAGGCAATTTCTTGCTCGATTTTTGGCTGAAGTTCCGGGGGTGCAGCGATCAGTGTCTCTGTCTTGTTGGCGTTGAGAACAAGAAAGTTGCTGGACAGCCAGTTACTGATCTGTCATTAAAGAATACATCCCAATCGGTCATTTCAAAACAGCCCTTTAATGCTTCACTCGAATCCTCGTTCCAAACTTGGATATTTTTTGTTACCACTTACCCTGTCTTCAGTTGTGACCTGTATTTTGGTAGTAGTAAGATTACATTGTGGTCTGATCTACCAAGAGGTGGATGTGACTTTGAGATGTATGCATTGGGATGTTGCCATAACATTGGTCTAGTTTCTTGCTCCCTCTTGTGGCTGTTGTGACATATTGCCCTAGATTAGGTAAATATGTTGTGATGTCGCATTTATTAAAGTCTCCCAAAAGAAATACTGGCTGATCTCCGGTTCTTTTGACAGCCCTGTTAAAACTATCTGCCATGGCGTCAGCAGCTAAGTTAAAATCAGGGCCCGGCACATAGACCATGATGACAGTGATTTGAGTAAACTCACGTGGGAGGTAGTGTGGTCTAAAAGACATTGTTAAAAGTTCGTAATGTTCACAGTTCTCAGTCTCTCTTATTGTGTAGGGTTTCCCACCTGCTGTTGACAGCCATGCAGAGGCCGCCCTCAATCGTCTTCCTTGTTTTGGTTGCGTCTCTGTCAAGACGAATGATGTTATATCCCTCCAGCTGGAAGTCAGCGTATGCTGAGAGCCAGGTCTCTGTGAAACAGTAGAGGCTGGTCTGTTTGTAGTCCTGATCATACAACTTCAGAAGTGTTGAAAGTTCATCACTTTTGTTGCGTAGGGAGCGCACATTTGACAGTGCTATATCTGGTAGCAGAAGCCTACTACCTCTTCTCCTCATTCGGTTCCGTATGCCTCCTCTTGATCCTCTTTTCCTGCATGTGCGCCGCCGTCATCTCCCCGAAGTAACTCCAGTGGTATAATATTCCTTGAAGGGAGGTGGGACTGAGCAGTCCCCGGGTGTGCTCGATTTAGCGCCAGGAAGCCTCCCCGCAAGTAGACAAGCCTTCCTGGGTAAGTGGGGAGAGGCTGAGTTGTCTGTGTGCAGAGTCCATTTAGCGGGGTAAAACTCGTAATCAGGAGCCAAGAAATGGCCACATACAGCGCGTTAGTTCCAAGCATCCTGTTAAACGTACGTGGTCTAAAACAGGTGTACAAAAACATCAAACATCTTATCAAACAGAGGCAAACAAAGTCATTCGCACCGAGCCGTGTCAGGAATCGCTCACAGGATAGCGCCTCCTCCTCCTCCTTCTCTTCAATCCCACTATGCCAGTTGTAAGCGTAGGCTGCACAAAACGGGCATAGTTGCTCACTCTGCGTTAACTTTGGAGAGTGAGGAGACCCATCCAATATGGCGGCAACGCTGTTACGCACTCCAGCGCCCAATGGGGTGTCTACGTATTCTTGTCTATGTTGTGAACGTGTCTTCCAACATGGCTGACTGAGTAAATATGTCACAAACTAGTCAAACATCATTAAATTCAAAGTCACAAAACTTTATTAATCCTAAAGGGACATTCAACTTTAACAGAAACAAGACGAACAGAAGCACGAGCTGCTTTTCTTTCATTAGTCTGTATTTTCACTTACCTGGTGACGCTGGTGACAATAATAATAATAATAATAATAATAATAATAATAATAATAATAATAATAATAATAATAATAATAATAATGATAATAATAATAAAATCTTTGTTTCATTAATAGGAACAAAAGTTACAGAATAGTTGGTTATGTAATTGTAATGCACGGCGGGGAATGTTCTGTTTATGTTGGTTGTTACTTATGATGTTAGAAACCAACAAGACACATTAGGATCACAGATAATATGATTCATTTAAGTCCATTAATGCCTCCTCTTAAAGAGAAAAGCGCGTTGATGACAGGTACAGCCCACTTTTAATGGAGTCCTGTTTTTCTTCTCACTTGTTATTATTGAGGGACTCTTAATGGAGCTGAAGCATCGTTTGTTCCATCCCTTGTTTCCCGTCTGTGACGAGTTCACACATCTGCTTTTAGAACAGGGTAGTGTGTTGGGTTAAAGGTGAAGGATCCTCAGAGGATTACAGCAAGATTAAACTCAGATTAAATGAGGCGTACAACATTTAATAAAACGTGTGTTTGAAATATGAACCCAAAGGTTGAATATGGAACAATTTAATAACAAGATATAATTTTTATAAAATAATACATCCACGGGGTGATTAGAGGTGTGCTGAAAGAAGGAACAGCATTTCCTTTAAAAGATTTATATTAACAAAAAGATTATCAAATATTTATTTTGACGGGCACATCACTGGGTTAATGTTTACATCTACCAGCCAGTAGAGGGCACCGTTGTGGGTTGTCAAACAGACCTCTCAGCACAGCGAGGACGGCCCGGTGGAAAATGGTGGACCCAGCAAATAAAGCAGCTGCTTCTAAGCCCAGAAGATGTTGTTATTCTTCTCAGAAAAGAAGCGACCATAAAAGATCTAAAACCAGAAGGAGTTTAGGTGAAGCCTACAGCAGATGGACCCAAGTAAAAAAACGTCACGTATCGACAGCAAACCTGGAATCCCGACGGTTGGAAACCTTGTTCTATTGTTGCAACTACAACCTCCACACACAAGATGTCGCTTTGGTGTCGTGCTCCATGTTTCAGTCTTTATTAGGACCTTTTGGTTTATTTATTAGACTAAATAAAATAAAGCCATCATCCCACAGCCATCAGCATCTAAAGCAGCTCTAATGAGATTCTAATAGTTATTAATTCCATTTTTGGTTCTTTTTTAAAACACAGGAAGGTTTCTCTTTACCTTGCTGACAGTTTCGTTTGCCGACTGCTTAACATCCTCAGAGCTGACGCTGATGGTGGCGTCACTTCCTACAGCGATAAGTCAAAACTGTTGTGGTTTCTGAATGCTGTGTGACAGCCCTCCCTTTCTCCTCTCCCATCCAGCCATGCCCTTCATCATCTCCATGCTGCTGGCCAGTCTCAACAGCTGCTGCAACCCCTGGATCTACATGTGCTTCGCTGGACATCTCTTCCACGACCTGAGGCAGAACTTCCTGTGCTGTTCCACCCGCTACCTCAAGTCCTCCCAGTGCCGCTGTGAGCGAGACTTTGACTCCAGCCACAAGAGCAACTCCTCCACCTTCGCCATAAAGAGCACCAGCAGCCAGAGGAGCATCACGCAGACATCCACCACATGAGCCCCCCCCACCCCCATCCCCCCACCCCCCGCTCAATGCTGGTTCCCAACGCCCCCCAACACCCCTGGCTGCTGTGTTGGCTGTTTTGGGGGGAAACAAAACCCCAAAAAGCTTTTATATTTCAGCGTTAAGTCAAAACTGAACTGTGAAGCTAAAATCTTAATTCTAACAAGATAATTAAGGACTAATGAGTTTCTTTTTGCACGTGTCTTAGTTTAAATGTAAAATACTTCTTGCTGTGCATCAAGCATTACCTAAAGGGTCTTTGAAAACTTTTATTGCACTGTAGAACACTTTTGATGAAGTTTATTAAATCAATGATTTTAGTTGTTCAGATGAGGCTGTTCTCGTTGCATAACTGCACACATTAACTGTGATGCCGGATCTCGTTAAGCGTGAAATGTTGAGCCTGTCACTGAACATTTGGCCAAAAACAAATAAAAACGGTAAGCAACAACCTGTTCTGGCTATTATTTACACTAAGCTGAAGCTCTCCTGGCCAGCTTTTACCTCCAGATTTGAAAATAAACACCTTCTGCACTGAGGAAGTTCTGGGTCCAGGTGAATTTCTGAGAGCACGCTGTGTTTCTGTTGCGGCTCCATTTGGGGACTAACGAGGCTCCTGTTCCAGAAGGTGAGTCGAAGCAAGTGTGTCTGCAGGACAATAAAGGGAAACGTGACCATGTGGGTCAGGTGGCTGTTTAATCAGAGGCCATCTGTGGGTTTTTAAATACATTTATTCTTCCTGGTGACACCAAGAGGGGAGAGAAAACAAAACCTGGATAATAAATACCGTAATTCTCCTTGTGTTGGCTTCTTGTCATGTCCTATTTAAACAGTTCTGCTATGAAGGGTTCATCCTTATCGTGCTTTTTGCAAGGACGTTTTTATCTGCCGCTAGACAAAAGTTTAAGAAGTATCTTTAGTATTTTTAGCTGCAAAAGATACAAATTCAAAGTATTAATTTGGTTGTTTTCTTTGTAGAATTCAGGAGTCTTTACTAAGAAGAAGGTTCTGGAGTTGAGAGGCACAAAAATCCCATAATTATTAACAAATCTTTCAAGATTTGATTTGATATTCTTGTGAATTTTGTGGTGAAGCTGTTTTCCGATTATTCATGTTTTGCAGATAATAAAATATTGCATCACTGTAGAGTCGACAGCCTGATTCACTCAGTCAAAGGCTCCATTTCTGCGTTTCTGCAGAATCATTCTACACTTCTATATCTTTGCGTGTAGTATATTCTACGATATCCATATCATTTCTGTATTCTGCTGTTTAAAATCTTATTTAAGGACAAAACATCAGATCCATTGAATGAAAGAAGACATTTTCATCCTGCCACACAAAATAACACCTCGCTAGTTATAAATATCCGACCAAAGGTTAACACCTTTTCAAAACAAACTTTAAATGTCAGCTCTGATTTCATAAGGAGATTTAATTAATTTCATTTGAAAGTGATGAAAAGATATCAAACTAATAAAACTCCATTTTTACTCTTAATTGTTGTTTTTAAATGCAGTGGTGCCCCCACGGGATGGCCAGGGGGGCCTTGGCAACCCCCTTAATAAATCACATCCACGTTAACACAAACTATACATTTATCTTCTTTAATCAAGACATAAATGTTAAAGCCACTAAATAAAATTATTAAATCAATTATAATTTACTCAAAGGGACGATGTGTAGTTTTGACCATTGATCTCTGGAAACATCCATCAAAATGTTGTTAAAAATGAATTAAATGATGCCCAGTTGTTGAAAAATATTGGCAGCTTCTTAACATATAACCATAAAATTCAGGTCTAAAACACGTAGGAGTGGGTCTGTCTCTGGGCGACGCCATATTAGGCACCATGTTTTCTTCTACGGGAACCCATGAGGACAAAACGCATTTACTGATTTGTAACAAATGGTTACAAAACTTACCCCATTCATACACATTGTTGTTTTACACATTTACCTCTTCACTTGCTGCCAGTGAAAAAAGGGAGTCTGATGTGCTCATCATTTTGCTGAAGTTTGCACTCCCCAGGGGTTTTTGACCCTAATGGGCATCCGTTGGTAAGGTCTGTAAGCTTCATTTATACTTCTCCGTCTACGTCGAGATGGAGACACGCAACGCCATTATCCATTCTTGCGAGCCTGCTGGAGAGCCCTCGCAAGGACTGACTGAGTCGAGCTCTCTTTTCTAAACATTTGTCCAACGAGACAGAGAATGCAAGCTTGTGATTGGCCAGGATGCAGCTGTCGTCTACAGAACCGCCATTGCACCCTCAAAAACATTAAGAGAGCCCAGGATTTCTGGCGGCAGGCTTAAAGAATACCACGCGGAAAACCTCTAAAAATATGAAAGTTTTATTCACCTATGACTGGAGGAGTGCAGAGAGCCTTTTATTCATGGACAGAAATGACGGGAAATGTAGGTTTAGAGGTGGCGAGCGCATGAAGAGGAGCAGGAGAATGATGGAAAAATGTGTCCTTGTTGAAAAGTCTCTCAAAGGGGCATTATGGAAGTTTGACAGGCAAAACATGTATAGAAATAATACATTTCTTCTTCATACATTCTCCTGCAATGCCCTGGTCCTGTAGAATGAGCCCTGGCATTTTTACTGTGATTGCCTGTTTTTCTGTAAAATCACAGAAAAAGAGAGATGCTCGGGTCGAGCAGGCTGCTTCATGCGCGTTCACGCTCAGGCATAGCCCTCCAAACCGTTCTTTGAACGTTGTTTCAGCTGTCATCAAGAATATAAATGTTACAGATACAGAAGACATCGCTGGTGCTTTAGCTTGTCTAATTAGACTGTGGGCTTTTGTGCAGAAGACCCGGTTTGATTCTGGATGCGAACATAGTTGTTTTAGAGTTTCTTTTTTACATTAATGGTACATTTTTTTACAGTAAGATGCCCAAATTTTTATTTGAGACTCGCTGAACGGCATTGAATTCACAGATAAAAAAGATGTGGGTTCAACTTTCATTTTGGAACAATTTTTCAAACAAGGGAAGGGAATGATCTGAGCATGCAGGAGGACTGACCCATCTTAAACCTTTGTCGGCTGTGATGAAGAGAAAGGTACAGAACCAAATTATTTAATTAATTAGCTGCACGTTCCCCTGTCCTCTGTCCTCCGGGCCCCACACACACACACACACACACACACACACACACACACACACACACACACACACACACACACACGCGCACACACACACACACACACACACACACACACACACACACACACACACACACACACACACACACACACACAAGGGACTGTCTCAGCAGTTTTTTTTTTGTTAAGGAGTGTGCACGTACAGCATGCACGCCTCGTGCACGAGCCTCCTATTGAAGCTGCCGTTACGCATTTGGCCTGAGGGGGCAATCGCTAACATAAAAATTCAAAACTCCGTCAAGTCCCTTTAAATACAAAAACATAATATAAACACAACTGTAAATGCACTATCTTGGACCGGATACATGACAGGATACCACAGAACAGCGCTACGCCCTCTGTTGTCCTGGCAGGGAATTGCTTTGCAGCACTTCCCAGGAGATGGGGAAGTCCGAAAGCAAAACGCCTCCGTCTATGTGTGCGTGTCTCTCCCTCGTGGAGCTGACGGAGAAGAATAAGTCAGGCTTTACTCCAACACAAAAATACTTCTTGCTTGCAATGATTTAGGTATCTACCGCCCCCTATAGCCAGGAAAAATACACAATGTCACTTTAATAAATCAAAATGTTGCATATGTGACTGAAGATCGCCATTCCAAAATTATAAATCTTAGTTTCTGTGGATATTTTTGTTGAAAAATTATAAAACGATAGAATCTGAAACAAAAACTGAAATAACATTTTGAACTTTATTAACTCTAACTTGAGGTAAATGTTTTGGATGCATTGACCTTTGAATTTTTAATGAAAAGAATGATGGAGAAAAGCTGCACAGCTACAGGCTAAACTCTCCCAGAGCTACTACAGCGACCAGTTTGAAGATTTTTCTGGTGTGCGACTGTTTAAATGACATCTAACCACAGCTTTTGCTTCTTTATTGATGTTATTTTAATAGAAATCCAAACTTGAACAGAGTGTGTCTTTTCCTGAGCAGAATATAAACGGACTGTCTGAAGCTGTGAGGGAAATAAAACAGCAGAGTTACAACAAGCGTTTAAAAGATAAAGGCACTTCAAAGATACACAACAGCATCCTCTAGGGTCACAACTCACCGAGCAGAGCTTCCAGGATGGAGGTGCTTCATCCAAACACCACACAGTTCGTACTGAATGCCATTTTTAGCATTTTTGTTTAATTTCTTGTGTTTTTTGGAGATATTCACTTAACATTTTATATTACTTTATTCAAGTCAACACTGTAAAACTACGTTTTACATTATTCCATCAGCGGTTACGTAATTGCTTGCAGGTGCAAATCTCAACCTAGAGGGTGTTTTAAAACTCTACTGATCACACCGAAAGGACAAAGATCACCTGTGCGGCTCGCTGTTGTTGCAGAAACTCATCAGTTTTATCAGGTAATGTTTTATAGAAACTCTAGAAGCAAAGTGAGACAAATTCAATCTATTTCATTCATAAAATAAAGGTGATTAACATCAGAACAAGCTCTAAACTTACAGAGGTTAATGCATGCAGCTGCCATCATCCACACGAGCATTATGAGATCTTTCTTCTCTTGAGTGAGTAGCTTTTGGGGTAAACTATGAACCGTGAACACTCAGAGTCTTCTGGTGACACTCGGCCTTCTCTTCCTCAGTGAGGAAGGCCTGGAAGTACCGGAGCTGTCACCACACCGCCTGCTGCAGCTGTCACAGCGCTTCTGGTAGCAGAATGCACGGTGGGCGCGTCAGGCTTCAGATCTCTGAGTGGAAGTCAGGAGGGTGGAGAAACAGTGTGCTGCAGTGGGAGGAGGATGAGTCAGGACTGGTTTGATGTATAAAAAGACACCACACCCCATCTGATCACTCTTTAAACCTTGCTGCAGGAGTTCTTAGGCTTCTTTGCGCAGAGCTACACGCACACTACTGAAAACCTTGCCCAGAGCTTCAAAGAAGGGATCACAGAAGGTCTGAATGCAGAGGGAGTAGATGCGGCTGAGGCACTGGGACTCAATCACACAGCTCTTGATGCAGGGAACCACGGCCCAGATGTGGCAGAAGGAGATGCAGGCGAACAGGAAGCCCCACAGCAGAGCCACTGGGATTCCAAAGACGGCGGATAAGACACGGTAGCACCAGTACTTTGACACGGTGAAGGTGGTGTAGCTGAGCTTCCACACTCCATCCATGCTGTGTGTCCCATCAGGCTCTGCAATCACATCCTCAAACTCCACCTAAGTGAACAGAAGCATTCATTAGTGCACATGCACAGCTTTCAGCCCTCTCCCTACATCACACCTCTCCTATAAGCGTGACGTTCGTGCGTTGGAAAGCTGCAACGAGTTCAAAGGTAAATTTATGCAGAGAAACATTAATTCTGTTCACTTCATGCGGCGTCAAAGTGGTGAAATGGCATTTAACGCTGCATCCAGATCAGTCAGAAACCCTCATCTCCAGCTTTTTATTAAAATCAAAGGTAGCTCTCATGTAAAATTCATGAGGGACATTCTACAGCGTTCCAGTCTGTGCTCAGGATTTCTTTATGCACCACCCGGTCCTTCTGAAAAACTAGGCTGTTACAATCTCTGCTGAGGCTCGGCTACTAATTGTAGCTTCAGAGATCCGCCAGCCGACATGATGCACATGTAAAACCTTTTCTCCGCATCCAGACCAGCGGATTTGTTCAGTACGAGCAGCAGTGAGAGGCAGGCTGAAATAAACGATGCTTGCTTCTGCTTTTCCCCTGAATGACTGGATCTCATTCAGCTTCATCTGAGATGGAAACAAACTTTTCAAAACTAACATCTTTAGACAAAATGGTCCAGAGCTGGGGGAAAGGCTTGCATTTGGATGTTTTGAAGTCAGTTTTCCATAGAAAGGTCGTGACCCGTAAAGAGCTTCAGTTTAGAGAAACAGAGATCAGGGATGAATAAATAAGCTAATGGCTGATTTGAGTTACATAAAGGATTAAAGCTTGAGGAATGAAACGTTGTTTTATAAACGTTTTTAAATGTCAAGTATCACATTACAGGATTATTCTAACAGAAACATTCTGTTGTTCCTGTAGGAAGTTCGCAAGGCTGCACAGGAAGTGCACATCTACTGCTGATCATGCAGTCGCATTAATAAAAACGACAAAAGATTAAAAATAAAACACAATAAAAACAGCATAAAACAGATTAAATAAAACAACGATTAAACAATTTAAATCAAGACAAAGTTGCAGACCCTAGTGATAATGGGCCTTCAGACGTGACTTAATATCTGGAAGGAAGACGCCAGTCTAACAGTCAAAGTTAGACCGTTCCACAAAGTCGGAGCAAGGACCGCAAATGCACGATCTCCCCCCGGTTTGCACCTAGGGCGAGGGAGCACCAATAATTCCTGGTCAACAGAGGGAAGGGAGCGGGTGGGGACATGCATTTGTAGTAGTGCTGATCATAAAAATCTACAGAAATTAACATTTTATATTTGCAGTTTAAATGTTTATGAATTATTTGATTAAAGAGATAAAGAAATCTGTAAATATGGGTCTGTTTAGACTAGCTGTTAGCATGCCAGTCTGGCCAGAATCATCTCTATTTCTCAAAACAGAGGCTTGTCTTTAACCCTACAATGTCCACAAAAAAATAAACATTTAATTATTATTTGGAGCAACTACAATTAAAAGAAAATGTAAGGTACTAATAGTCTAAAGATAAAAAACATTAAAAGAAATGTAAAAATAATGTCATAGTTCAAGTCTTTGTTCAAACAAACCTCAATTTAATACTTCATTCTATTTGTGGGAAAAAATAAATACATTTATGAAAAAATGGTCATACATCTGAATATCAGATGTCCAGATACAATTTAAATATTCATATTCTCCATGGCAACAATCAGAAAATAAACAGTGGCAAAGAAAAAAGTAGTAAAGAGTGGACCGTCCTAACTCCTTAACAGATTCCTAAAATAAACGTTGGGCTCTGCGTTAGCAACGGGAATAGCTCCTGGTCTATTTAAAGAAATATCAGTCAGTACAATAAACTGTCCCCATGCTTGTAATCCCAGAACCCAGTTATGCTGTTTTCAGCTGTTTTCACACACACAACGATGCATTCCAAAAGCGTCCAGTGGAAAAGAGAAAAGTTTAGAGTCCCTCTGCACAAACCTTCACCACGTCCTCATTGATCTGCTTGGGGTCTCTGTTGATTAGATCGATCTCTTTAGTGTGGCTGTCCTTCACAATCTTCTCCTCGTTGGCGTTGTACTGGTACTGGTCTGCCATGGTGGGGCTGCTGGTCTGGATCGAGTCAAACTCACAGAGGATAAACCTTGGTGGACAGTCTCTGTTCATGCGCACACACACACACACACACACACACACACACACACACACACACACACACACACACACACACACACACACACACACACACACACACACACACACACACACACACACACACACACACACACACGCACACACACACACACACACACCCTGTAACAAGACTGTGACGCTCCTGCTGGCATGCCAAGAGACAGCTGCTGCAAGCCCTATCCCCACCCTGCACACACACACACACACACACACACACACACACACACACACACACACACACACACACACACACACACACACGCACACGCACACACACACGCACACGCACACGCACACGCACACACACACACAAACACACACACACACACACACACACACACACACACACACACACACACACACACACACACCCTCAGTAAAGAAATATAAAAAAATAAATAAACAGATGTTCACATGATCATAATGTAATGACCAAGGACAGAAAAGGAATGCTCCATAGAGGAACCTGGGTCTGTGTCACATTTCACATGGAGCTGCTGAGCTAGCTAGGGCTGGGTTTGCACGGTGTCACTAACTTCCACACTAACACACCCTCGTCATCTTCAGTTTGGACCCAACTTAGAGCTAAACTGAATGTTTACATTGTGGCAAACCAATCAGGGAGATCACACTCAGACTGGCATGGCCTTACAGGCTTTACAGAATCATGTCTTACTGGATTATCATTCATTTAGATGTTCTGTCTGTTGGGTTTATGTATAAAAAACTCTAAAAAGGAAAATTCCTTCAGGAAGTCAAACACAATAGAATAAAATATTGTAATTCACCCAAATTGCTCACTTTGCGGTATCCTTACTGCACAACTAGTAACAATAATGGGACTCAGGCATCTTAAGGGAGCAGGTTATTTGTTTAATCAATGCATTTGCAGTAGGAATTAATGCCTTGTGAGTCATTCTCGGGTAAAGAAATATACTGGTGCACCATTTCTCTGACCTAAAAGTTGCCCACATGACAGTGGAACTTCAGACGGCAGGTTTTGGAGTCTTGTTTCCTGATACTTGGACATCTCTCCTCTGATTGGATAACAGCAACGTGACTCTACCACTGACTTTCAACAGGGATGTTTCATCTCCACAAATAAGAAAAGAAAGAAAGAAAACAATCTTTTATATAATGCCTGTCAAGATAAAAAGCACAAGGTGCTTCACAAGAACAAAAAGTTTAAAAATAAAAAGCTTTTTTTTATTCATAAAAATGAGAACAAATTAAAAACGTGTGATTTAAAGTGTGAGGAAAGAGAGAGAGAAAATGAATAAGGAAGAGGGAAATCAGCAGTTCCCGGAAAAGCAGGAATTTAGTAAAAATTGCAGAATAAGGAGAGGTTGGTGATGAAGGTCACACAAAAACCAGCCTGAACAGGTTTTCAGCTACTTTTTAAAGGAAACCCCTGAGTCCAATAACACAAGCCTGAAGGAGCTTCCGCTGTGTGGTGGAGTTGCTAATGCTAATAGTTAGCTTAAACTAGTCGAGACGTCCACTGCTGATTTCTGGACATTAAACCAACAACAGCCTTCCCCCGTCATGAGTCAAGATGGGTGCGTCTATGAAGGCTAATTCACAGTGTGACATAGATCCGTCAGCCTTTTCTAGTTTCATTGTCTATTTTCTATCAGAAGCTATTGCAGGAGATAGGTGTAGGAGACTATTTTCATGTTCAGCCTGCATGAAAAACTCAGAAATAATCATTCAAAATGTTTTTTCAGTGAACCACACCTTTAAAATGAACTTTTCCCCAACAAACCAAAGATGACACAAATTCTTGGCCTTCACGTTTAGTAAAGGAGCACACATAAAACTCAATAGTCCTCCAAAATAAAACTCACATGGCTTTATTTAGGCTTCACAGTTGCCGCTATCAGTCATTGCTTTCCATAGCAGCGGGCAGCATAAACAAACTCTCACAGAGGGAGAGCTGCAAGCTAAAGAGGGCTAGAGGGGAAACGGTCATGTGAAAGGAGGCCTTAAGGTTCGTAGAGACTCCCTGCTAGTATTTATCTAAATCAGTTGGGTGTAAGGGAAGTACGGGATTGGCATTCCCCTGTCTCAGAGCCGAGGGAACGGCGGTGGAATGACATCAGAGTGCATGTGCCTGGGTGCAGGTCAATTAGACGTCTATTCTCAGAGAGGCAGGGGAGAGAGGAAAACCAGTTTGGAATGGAGGCAGACGGACAGAAATAGCTCATGGGCATACCTCGGTTTTTCATGGATGTCAGTGCAGCCAGCTGAGACGGTGCTAGCCCTTACCTATCGTTAAATGTAGGCACACACATGGAGTTCTCAGAGCTGGAGTAGATGTTATGGGTGGGGGATATCGCTGACCTGAGTTAGTCAGGCAAAGAGCGATGTTGGGTGTGTCTCTTCACAGCGATCGGCTCGTTACGCACTAATTATTTAGAAGAGTCCATCTTTTGATCAACAATAAATATTTACTGCTCTGCAAATTACCTTCAATTCATGAGTTTCTCAAATTGATCACAATAAAAATGTCTCACTTGTGCAAACCCAAATAAGTCCGTTCATTCTTTTTTGTGTTTCATTCCTTTTTCATTTTGATCCATGTCCGTATTCCAGGTGTGATGCAACGGATTCTTCTAATGGTGTAATGAGGGCCTTTTTGGGCTACTGATAAGGTAAAACGATTGATGTAATCGTGATTTGATACAAAAGCGCGGTATCCTCAAAAGGCCCGGTCTCCAGGGAGCAACAGATGTGAGGAGGATTTTCATTTCTACACCATCGTGTGAGATGACTGAAGAGTCTGAAGACATGAATTTGCGTCTTTCTCCATCTTTGTTGCACAATCAATGTGAATAATCCGAAGGAGCTTCCAGAGTAAACATAAACAACTCAGAGACGTCAGAGACATCAGGAAACCAAGAACCTGTTTTTTTTCACCACGCGAGGAAAGAAAAAACCTTCAGACTAATAGTTAAGACTTGAATCTGCACCGAAGGGCCTTGAGTGTCTGTTAGTGCCTGTTTTTGTCTTCTTAAACTTTTGCTTTGCACTATCTTCCATTGGGAAAAGAGAAGGAAACTCATCTGTGGGTTATCCTGTTGTCTAGTAGCTCCGGTTTGGGCCAAGTGAAAATAATAAGTGCAATCAGGGACTGTAAACGAGCTGTTTCTGCCCTCCCTGAAAGCACTCAGCAGGTGATCTAGGTCTCAACCATTGCAATCAGCTGCTGCATGAACACCTTTTTCCAACTAGTAGCACAGCATAAGTTTGGTGGCATAACTGAAGCGTCAGCCCTTGTGTCTCAGCCCCTCTGGTGTAAGACACTCCGAGGTAAAGACATACGTGTCTACCTGCGCGTGTCCACAGAGCAAACAAACTTGACCCTGACGCTGCTCCATCAACACCTAGCTAAATGTGCCATTATCCTTTACCTGTGATCACTAGCTTCAGAGGAAGGTCACACACAGCAAACCGCTTTCGCAACCTTCAAAACCTCAGCTCGCTAAAACCAACTCCCCCCGAAGACACTCACCTGTCTGTGGGACTGTGGAACTGCCAATCAGCTGTAAACAAAGCTGACTTCATTACCGCAAACCACCTGTCACTTGATGCACTGGCTCTCACTGAGACCTGGATCAAACCATGTGACAATGCTACCCCATCTGCTCTCTCAGTTAGCCACACTTTCTCCCACACTTCTCGTGCATCTGGCCGAGGTGGTGGAACGGGCATGTTAATTTCCAATAAATGGATATACAGTCAGTTGCTACCCATCACTAAATACAACTCCTTTGAATACCATGCCATCCAGGTAACTGTACCAAAATAATTCTTTTTGGTTGCCATATATCGACAACCAGGTCAACTCTGAGACTTTCTTGATGAACTCGACACCCTGCTTTCCTCCATTCCTGAGCTCGACTGTCCCACAATGGTCCTTGGAGACATGAATATTCACCTGGACAATCCCAGCTCATCAGGCTTCCTGTCACTGATGTCATCATTTGATCTAAAACTAGTACAAAGTCCTCCAACTCACAAAGCTGGAAAAGCACTTGACCTCATTTTCACCAGAAACTGTGCCATGGACACAATCTCTGTCACACCGCTGCATCTTTCTGATCATTACTTCATCCGTTTCAGCACGACTCTACAAGGGAGGTCCACTGCTTCCTCCCCAGTGGTCTCATTCTGCCGCAACCTCCGCAATCTGGCACCCAACTACTTCTCCTCTCTTGTTGCCTCCACTCTTCCATCTCCCAGCACATTCTCTGCTTATGAAGTGAATGAAGCCACCGAGTCAATCTGCTCCACACTCGGCTCTTGTCTTAACAACTTGTGCCCTTTAGCCACTAGACCTGCTAGATCCTCTCAGTCACACCCTTGGCTAAATGATACCCTCCGGTCTCTACTCACCAATCTTAGAGCTGTGGAAGGGGAAAGGCGCAAAACAAAAGATCCTGGTGATCTATTGAAATTTCAGGAATTACTGTCTTCATTCTCTGCCAGCATCACTGATGCAAAGAAAGCTTTCTACACTGATAAAATTCTCAGTTCTACTGACTCTCAGAAACTATTTCCAACATTCAAAACTCTGCTCACCCCTCCATCTCCACCTCCTACAAACAATCTATCAGCTGAAACCTTTGCCTCATTTTTCACTGACAAAGTGGCAGCTATAAGCAAACAGTTTAGTCAACTGGCCACTCCTGAACATTCACTACCACAAACTCCTTCAAGCCCAACCATCTCAAGCCCTACTGCTTCATTTTCCTCTTTTTGCCATGTCACTGAGAACTGTGTGTCCAAGCTTCTCACGTGCAGCTGCCCTACTACATGACTTGACCCCATTCCGACTAAGCTGCTCCAAGCTATTGCTCCTACAGTAGCCGCAGCAGTCACACATGTGATCAATGCATCACTGACATCCGGTACATTTCCCACCTCTCTCAAGAATGCTCAGGTTAAACCGCTGCTAAAAAAAAACATCTCTTCCTCCAAATCATGTGGAGAACTACCGACCTATCTCTCTCCTCCCTTTTCTGTCCAAAATCATTGAAAGGGTGGCTTTCAAGCAGATCACAGAATATCTCTCACAAAACTGTCTGCTTGACCCTTACCAATCTGGGTTCAAAAAGGGCCACTCCACTGAAACTGCTCTGTTAGCAGTGACTGAATCCTTAAAAGAAGCTAGAGCGACAGACAAATCCTCAGTGCTTATCCTGCTTGACTTATCGGCTGCATTTGACACTGTCAACCATGGCTTCCTTTTGTCCACACTCTCTAGCATGGGGATCACAGAGAAAGCACATGCCTGGTTTGAATCGTACCTAACAGGATGATCATTCAGTGCATCTTGGCTTGGATAATCCTCTACCGTGCACCATCTTGCCACAGGAGTCCCCCAGGGCTCAGTACTAGGACCTCTTCTCTTTGCCATATACACCACCTCACCGGGTGAGATCATTCGATCTCATGGCTTCTCCTACCACTGCTATGCAGACGACACCCAGCTCTATCTGTCATTTCCACCGGACGACCACACTGTCTCTGCACGAATATCAAACTGTCTCTCTGACATATCAAAATGGATGAAATCCCACCATCTCCAACTCAACCTCTCTAAAACTGAACTACTTGTCATCCCAGCAAAACCATCCATACAGCACAATATCTCAATCCGAAATGACTTCCTATCTCTGGCTCCTTCAAAGGCAGTTTGACCTTTAAAGATCATGTTGCCTCTGTTGCTCGTTCATGCCGCTTTGCGCTGCATAACATACGAAAGATCAGACCATACCTAACACAACATGCCATCCAGCTCCTGGTGCAATCTACTGTCATCTCCCGCCTCGATTACTCAATGCCCTTCTAACTGGTCTTCCAGGCTGTTCTGTGAGACCTCTTCAAATGGTCCAGAACGCAGCAGCACGTCTGGTCTTCAATCAGCCAAAAAGAGCACACGTCACACCTCTGTTCATTGAGCTCCACTGGCTACCGCTAGCAGCACACATCAAATTCAAATTGCTAACACTAGCATACAAGGTCCGAGATGGTACGGCTCCCATCTACCTGAATCCTCTTGCAAAGGCTTACATCTCGGCCCGGCCGCTCCGGTCATCACAGGATCATTGCCTAGCAGTGCCTACACCACGCTCAGGACAATCCAGACTCTTCTCATGCATTGTTCCACAAATGTGGAATGACCTTCCAAGCACTACCAGAACAGCGGCTTCCTTTTCAATTTTCAAGAAACTCCTGAAGACCCTGCTTTTCAGGGAGCATCTTCTTAACTAGCACCCTGCCTGCACCCGTCCCCCTTCTCTACTGTCCACTCCTTGTTCCCTACTCTCCATGACTGATGTCAATGTTGTTGTTGTTATTGTTGTTGTTAGCCTCAAGGGCAATATGCCGATTATCACTTGTAAGTCGCTTTGGACAAAAGCGTCTGCTAAATAAACATAAACATAAACATTAAGCCACCATAGTTTGAAGAGATATTTTGCCATTTGGCAACAAAAACACTCGTCTGCAAATGATGCACACACACAGTCTGTAAGGAATAGTTATGATTTTACTCATCAGGAAAAATGGTCTGTGATCCAGAAATAAAAGACACTTGGACAAACCGTGGTTAGTAAAGCAAAGTACTGGTCACATCTTCCTGTTTGTCTGGACGCATCACTTATGACTGCAGCTGTATGGAGCAGCGTGCTGATGCTTTTGGCCACAGTCTCAGCTGATGTCTGGTTCAGAAGGAACCATTTCAACCAAACAAGCTGTCATTTTTCTGGAAGTGAACATTTGAGCTGGAACTGAACTCAACAGCTGGACTGGAGGACTGTTTTCCACTCGTGTAAGTCTCCTTAACATCACCTTAATTACTGATGTGCTTTAAAACTGCCAGTTCCTGTCTTTGTTTGTGTCCTAACCCAAAAATAACCTTCCACCACGTCAAGAGAGGGATTTCTTGTCATGACTTGCGGGAGGCGTCTAGCCCAAGACATACAGAATCAACACGACTGCTGAGGTGAGTAAAAATAAAGTCTCTTTATTACAAAACGGGAACAGAAGATGCACTGGGAAGTCCAGAGAGTTGATGACTGTAGATAATAGTCCAGAGTAGAGATCCTGAGACCGAAGGGGATGGTGGCGAGCCGAAGTGAGCGAGGGAGGGGGTCCTGGTGAGCGAGGTGGGTGAGGCAGCGGAGAGGAGATGGGACAGGTGCCGTGGAGGAGGATGGGACGTGGTCCTGAGGGTTCAGGGGTCTCTGGCGGCGAAGGTTGTGGAGGTAGTAGAGGATGTCCTAGACAGGGCAAAGCAGACGAGGGTCCAAAGTCAAAAATTACAAAGTAAATCCAATGTCATCCAAAAACACGAGAACTTGCAAACTAGACAAACGAGTATGAGTGGCTGGAGCTAACCAAACTGTAGCAATCATCCGGCGTCAAGTGGTGTCTCCATCCTTCCTTTATGCCAGGACACCTGATTACGAATCCATCGCAGCTGATGTCCCCTCCGCTCCTCACCTGTGGGAAAAGAACCTCAAAGATGGTTTATTTGAGGAGGAGCACTCACCTCGGCTCGTGACTGTGTGTGTGTGTGTGTGTGTGTGCGTGTGTGTGCGTGTGTGCGTGTGTGTGTGTGTGTGTGTGAGTGTGGGGTGGGGGGTGGGGTGGGTGTGTGTGTGTGTGTGTGTGTGTGTGTGTGTGTGTGTGTGCGTGTGTGTGTGTGCGTGTGTGTGTGCGTGTGTGTGTGTGTGTGTGTGTGGGGGGGGGGGGGGTGTGGGTGTGTGTGTGTGTGTGTATGCCAGTTCTCTGCATCGGAGCTCTTGCCCAGGTGAGGAGACAGCTGCTAAGGGGAGAAATCAGTGTGTGTGTGTTTGTGGCACAAGAATATGAGGACACACACAGCAAATTAATAAAATAATGTGGTTCACAATCTCCAAAAGCAACACAGCTCATGTCTGCCTTTGTTTACCTTATAATGGAGGACGCCGCAGATTTTCCCCCGCGTATTAAGCGCCGCCCACAGGCTCAGCGATTTCCTCATTCCTGAGAAGTCCCTCGGATTTATATGTGAACACTACACCACCTGTTCGAGACCGAACTCACGCCATCCAGCCCGACCAAACCCCGACCATGCCGACGCTAATGTGTACGCACCATAATATGGCATTGCCCAGAGACTTAGACCCACTCACATGTGTTTTAGACCTGATTTTTATGGTTATATGTAATGAAGCCGACATTTTTTTTCCAGAAAATGAGCATCTTTTAATTCATTTTCAACATTTTGATGGATATTTCCAGAGATTTTCGATAAAAACGACACATTGTCCCTTTAACCAAGACCTTTAGTTGAAAAACGATGGGCTTACAGTTGTGTGGGCCTAATCTTGAAAATAACATTGTGAAAGACCTCCTCTCATTCTAAACAGGACGTTGTCTCAGTAACTGTGACACCGACTGAGTTTTAGCTCCTTTGGGTCCGCCAAAGTCCGATTACACATGATCGTTTGCAGATGAGTTTCATTCAGATGTGTTCATGAGATTTTCGGCCAACAGAACGAATTGACTGAAAAAAAATGTGGCTGACTCAAAGGGAAACCAGGCAGTTTTGACTTGCTTTTAGCACCCCCTAGTGTCCATTTGTAAAACAAAAAGCAAAACCAATTTCCTCACCATATGTTCGTCTTTTTAACACCTTAAATGTCTCCCCAGCCTTCCTTAGTGTCTGCAGGAGGGATTCATCACTAAATTATACAATAGCATGGAATTGCTTTAAAGGCAGTGTTTGACTTTGAGAACTGAAAAAGATGTAATCCATCCTGTGGGTCTTCAGGTGTTTTGCTACCCCCCCCCCCCCCCCCCCCATTTTCCAAATACATGCATAAACTGTCCTGCTTCTTGCTGTGTATCTTGTTGTATGTGTGCTCTGTACACTTGTTCTGCTGCTCCTTTATAGGTGGGTTAGGACGCCTATACATCATTGTCACTGCAAACTGGAAAACCTGATGAACATGTCAGCATGCCAAATTTCATGACAGGTGCACAAAAACCACTAAAATGGTCATAAACAATGCAAGCTCTCTCACAGGAGACGGTGAGCAATCCATCAGCGCTTGTCGCTTCTGTTTAAACCACTTATTTGCTGCCGGTCTAAAACATTTGCTTCTGCATGTTTTGGTTAGTGAGCAGATGGATGGTGATTAGGTTACAGCACTTTCCAAAACTGATAAAGGAGTGATAAAAATGTTCAGTATGGTGGCCCACACCGTGTGAATCCATCACATGTTGATGAGAAGGAGCTGCACGCAGGGCATGATTAGCCTGGAAGGACAGAAGGGGGAGGGCAGAACATCAGCTAATTGAATAAACAGCATTAAAACATCACTAACAGAGTCCCTCAGGGGGTGAAAAAATACATGAAATAGAATCTAATTATCACTCTCAGAATATGATCCTGTCTCCCATTAATATTCTAGTCTGAACTGTTTCACACCAGATGTGAAGGCAGCTGAGCACTGCGAAGAGGAGTCCTGCTGCCAGGGACACCGGCACCGCCAGCAGCAGCGAGATGAGGCGGTAGGACCACAGTCTGGACACCTCAAAGAGGGCGTGGCTCCACAGCCGCACTCTGTCAAAGCTCCTCACAGAGGGAGATTCTGCTATCACATCCTCAAACATGACCTCAAGACACACACACATGCATGCATACACACACATTCACACACACACATGCAAGCACACACACAAATGCACACACTCACACACACATGCGTACACACGCGCATGTATGCACACAGACGCACACACACACACAAACACACATATCCATACACACGATGCATGAACGCACACACAGGCATGCATGCACAAACATACAAGCATACACACATGCATCTATGGACATACATGCATGCACACACACACACATGCACACAAACACACATAAACACACACACACACACACACACATGCACACAAAAACACATACACACACACACACATAAACGCACACGTACGCACACACATTCACAAACATGCATGCACACAAACACAGAAATGCGCACACATACGCATGCATACAAACACACATAAACACACACGCATGCACATACACACCCGCATGTGGAAAAACACACATAAACACACACGCACGCACATACACACACACACACATATACAAAAACACACATAAACACACACGCATGTACAAAAACACACATAAACACACATACACACGCATATACAAAAACGCATACACACACAGAGAGAGAGAGAGAGAGAGAGAGAGAGAGAGAGAGAGAGAGAGAGAGAGAGAGAGAGAGAGAGAGAGAGAGAGAGAGAGAAGCACTATCAGAACTTTTCCTGCAGGGATCCATCTTGCACAGGTGAAACATTCATTTACTGTTTTCTCTATAAGGACCCGGTAGGAACTGTCCACTTCAGGTTAGCAGTGTGCAGAAAAGACTTTTATTCTCTTTTCGATCTAATAATTGATAAAAGTTACTGACTTCCACTGAGATCAAGACAGCATTGTAGTTTAGCTCAGATCTGGAAACAGTGGCAGCAGATGTGTTTTATGGGGCTGAGATAATAAACTGCACCCCAGCTCACACCCTGACCGCTTCTCATTGGTTCGCTTCATAATACAGAATTTGTACCTTCAGATTGCTGTTGACTCTTCTGGGATCCCTGTCGTGAAAGGGAGGCCTCTTATCAGTGTGAGTGAAAACCAGATCCTCAGAGTGTTCCTCCACCTTCACTTCCACCAGTTCCTCTGATGGGTTTGTGCCGTTTAATCTCCTCTCCTCCATTTCCACTCAGCTGACCTGCGTCTCTGCTCAGATGTCGATGGGAAACACGGAGGATGAGCTGCAGCCTCGAGGCCATCGGGCTCTCCCTGACACCCAGGTGGAACATACTAGACCAATGACTCTTTCTGAGGATGTCTTTGAGAGGTACACAACTCAAACTGGCTCATTTACACCTGTATGAGATGAAACCAACCCTGATGCAGTCCTTTCATCATAAGGACTCTGACAGTGTCCAAAAGACCGTAGCTGAACTAATATTCCGCAGAGGGGAACTAATGTTTGTTCAGTGTTTCCAGACCGTGCCTTAATTTATGACGGACATACTTCCGGTTTAACGTTGTGTATGTTCATCGACATTAATGTATGGACATCTCCTTTCCATAGGCTCCAATATCACTTTTTTGAGGCCAAATGGGAGGTGGCCACCACCGCCATTTTGACCGTGTCACAGATTCCGTCAAGCCCAGACAATTCCATAAAAGGGAAGAGAGGAGGAGCTGAGGGTGGGGCTGTAAGGCTGGGAGCAACTGACGACACCTGGTCGAACTAGCTACAAGCTAACCTGAAGCTAACCCTGGCTAACCCAAAGCTAATGCGGAGGTGGGAGCTAAGCTAATGGAGGTAGCAACCTAGCTACAACCGGAGTTAACTGTGCACAACACCAGAGCTTCTGAGTCAGAGATACGCCGGGCTGACCGCTGAGTAAAACCGGGTGGAACACAGAGGTCTCCAAGAGCTCCACAAGCTGGCAGCCGCACAGCAGACAAGCGCCTCTGCGGTCTGAGATGCGCAGAGCTGCCGCTGGGGAATACCGGGTGGAAAGGTTTCCATCCCAGAGCTCCACAAGTCGGCAGCCCGCGCGGCAGACAGAAGCCGCGATCAGACAGAGATGCGCCGAGCTGCAGGGAGGGAAGAAACGGGTGGAAAACATCGGTCTCCCGAGAGCTCCACTAGCCGATAGTCGGAACCCAGCTCCACCAACATGTTATATTTCAACCCATTTTCTAAAGTGCAGCATTATGTTAAATGCACTGGGTTTTACCCTATTGCATTTAAATTTCATGGTTAAACAGTACATGTTAAAATCTAAGCTCAGCTCGGCAGTGACCTAAAATACATAAATATAATTTTACTTACCGAAAAAAATGAAGTGGAGACTCCTTGGACGCTCTATTAGTGCAATTAATGCCACAGCAAGCCATTTTGTCTAACAATTGCACAAAAATATCCAAAAAAAACAATACACAAACAGAGACTCAAAATGCCGGAGTAGTTTCCAAGCCAGACCGAGGCTCTACAGCGGCCTTTCCACGGAGCTAGCTCTGTGGTCACGTGGGTCGGATGCTCATTAATTATACAGAATTTTAGGCTTTTAATACACTTAAACAGAAGAGTGAGAAAAAAATTCACCCCCCTCAGAGTTGTCATGAGTGTAAACTAGATCATTTAAACCAAAAACATGTTCTGGTACCAGGCTGTAAACATGTTTATTTCTGCTGTGAAATTGGTATTTTTAACATGGGAGTCAATGAGGATTTGCTCGCTTCTGACACCAGCCCCCAGCGGATGAGGGTGGAACTGCAATTTTTGGTACTTCCGGGTTTGACTCAATTTTAGAGCTCCATTGTGGGACCTTTTGTATGTTGTGTGTGACGGATATAAAAGTGAGTACTAAAGGCGAATATTGATGTTATATTTATGTTCGCTAGTTTATTTCATGTTTGGTAGCCCGTCAGTCGCAGTTGTTATTCATTAGCATGTTTATTAGTGTTTAAATGACTGCCGTTAGTTGCTAATGCTAAAGCTAGCCTTATGAGTTCCATGCTAAGTTGGTAACGTACCTTCAGTTACACGAGTATCGGTTGATAATTTGTTTAGTTAGCAGTGGGTGTTGGCCATGTCTTTGTTGGATTATTTAATTTACGGAAGTCACTTTGTTTCTTCCTAGAAACCACACATATGGTTCAGCGCCTTGGGCTTCCTGACAGGGTTGCGGAAGGCGCTTTATAAATAAAGCTTTGACTGATTGATTGTTGATGATTGATTGATTGATTGATTGATTGATTGGTTATTGATTGATGATTGATTGATTGATTGACACATATACATACATGTATCCAACTCCGGCTACAAGAGTCTGCTGTTTAATGTCAACGCCAATAAATTCACTGAAGATACTTCTAGTCCGCCTGGTTCTCTGACCAGAACCTCCTGTCCATATTCACTGCCTCAACCAGTCTGTATCCATTTACTAGTGTAGTGCTACTACAGACAGTATTTGGTGGAGTTCAGCCGTTAAAACAACACTTCAACCAAATCTGCGGCGAATCAGAGCTTGTTCACATTGCAGATCTTTAACATTTCCACTTTGAGTGGTCCTTAGGGCATCACACCTACTGTGCGTTTAATGCAGTTATAGTAGGAACATAAAGATCTCATGTCTGATCCTCGTGCATCAATGCCACCGTTTGCTTCATTTGCTTTTTGCTTAAATATTTTCTCGTTGTGTGAGTTCACGTTTTGCCCTTTAATGTGTCCTGATTCTCCTTTAAGGACACTGAACATGGATCCCACACATAATACAGCTGCTTTATCAATAACCAAGATGCTTATGTGAAAATGTGAGAGCAGGACCACAAACAGAGCAGGCATCACACCCCGGAGATGGGAGTTCACTGACACATAGCTCCCTCTGTTGGCCAAACCATGTCGTTGTACTTTAGTTTTCCCCAAACAAAGCAACAATTACATCAGCTTTCCAGTGTGTATGTCGATGAGTCAGACGCAAGCACTGAGCTGTTTTCTCACAATAATCCACAGCGGTAAGAGGTGCTATTTGGGTCTACTTTGTCAAGAACTAATGGTTCACAGAAAAACTGTATTATTGTTTTCTAATTAGAGCACAGAATCAAGTCTACCGGAAATTTCCAGACGTGTGTGTGACCATCTAAATATTTGGAGTTTGGTTCATACACCAGATATTTATTTATTACCTTGTGTTTCCTGGGGATGAAACCCCCTGAGATGATCCATCTGGTTCTCGAGAGGCTCCTCATTCAATACAAACAGTTTAAGGCAGCTGAATTACCAGTGGCTTCCAAACAAATATCAAAGCAGAACTAAATAAAAGCATTAATAATTCTGACAACAACACATCTACTAAAGTGAGATAGTTAAAAATAAATAAACAATAAACAATTAAAAAAGAGAAAACGACTTAGCTTCCTAGAAGTGATTTTAACATAACAGGCAGAAACCTAGACACAATTGCAAAAGATGCGACATGTAAATAAATCGTGTTTTTGAATAAACAAATAAAGGAACAATAAAATAAATGTGTTCATTACTCCTGATCCTGCACTGACAGTCATAGGAACCAAATACAGTTTAAGATACAATGGGAAATCAAAATATATACATTTAAAAATAAACTATAACCAGTGAAACCTTCGTCTCGCATGCAAAAGAAGCCAGGACAGACGTTGGTACGTGTTACAGTGGTGTGTATTAAATGAGCAACACAGAACTAAACGGTACACAATATTGTGGGCAACATCAAGATGATGGAGACAGGAAGTAGGAGCATTTTGGTAAACAACATCTGCATAATCTAAGATTGGAAATAAAAGTTGAGTTGCAATGTGAAGTCTTACTCTGAAACCGAAGCAATTATCTGATTGATGTAACCATTTAAACTGAAAGTTGTTCTTGTCTGTAATGGTTTGGATGTGATAATTAAAGGAAAGATCAGATTCGAGCCGGACACTAAGTATTTAACTTTCTCAACACTTTCTAACAACAATGAGTCTAAGATATAAAGAGTCATGATGTAAAAATGTCCTAAAATGTGAGTATGTTCCTTATTTATTCATTATTAGTCATATTAAAGGATTTAGAATCTTTATTTAGATAAAAGATTAGACATTTCTAGAGTAAGCTTTTATGATGCTGAGTAATGTGTGATGTGGAATGCATATCTTATGAAAATAGCATGCTAATTTTTGGCTTTGTTCTTCTGTGAATAAATGAAAACATTTACCAAAAGTCTTAAACTAACGACAGAACAAAAACATCTGAGCTTGTGTTTGTGTCAGGAGCAGTGTTGGGATCAGTGTTAATTTTGTTGACAAAATATTTTCATCTTTTTTTTGTCACGAAAATATATTTACAGACGAAAATGAAACAAAATTCCAAAATTAAAGCTTGGAAAAAGACGAAGACGATCATTAAATTGATTGAAACTTTTAGTCAACGAATGAAAGACGAGACGAAAATCCACGATGACGCTCTACATGGCGCTCCATGGTGCGGTGCGCCTATTGTGTTGTTGTGAGACACGAACGTGGTAGAAGACAAGGGGTGTGACGTGTCGTGAACGTGCGGGACGTGAGCGAAGACAGACCCCGAATAGTACAAAGGGGCAGGTATGTGCGGTATGCTGAACATTGTTCAGAAGACAGGAAAGATGCAAGAAGCAAATAAAAGGACCAATCAACAAATTGAACAGGCGGGACTAGCCGTGGAGCTTTTCAGAGCTGATCACACCAGCTGTCTGTGTGCAGCACCGAGTCCCCCCTCCCTCCCCACAACCGGCATGCAGCGGCCAAATATAAACAAACGCGTCTGCCGAACTTTTGCTCCGTAATGTAAACTTTAAATCCTGCAGCGAAAAATGCGGCGTAGAGGACACTTGTTAAAATACGTCAACACGGTGGATTTAATAGAAGCTTTAAAGAACAAACTCTGGACGGTGTGAGGTGAGTTGGTCTCAGACGTGTTTTGTCTCTCCAAATTCGGAACAAAGCCTAAACCAAAGTCTTCCAAGTGTAGTGTTAGACGGCAGATAAGCCAGTATAAGGAAGAGCTCTCACAGTCCATCACTTGTGAAACGGGAATGGAGTTTTGGCTTGGAAAATGTGACACAGCCTGAAACCATTAGCATTAGATATATTGGCAATGCCAGCTTCTCAGTCTTTTGCAGAAAGAGTGTTCAGTATCACAGGTGACCTCACTAGAGGGAAACGCAACCGAGCAAAGGTCACACTAGCACAAAGTCGCTGGACCAACTGGAACACTGGACAGCACAGGGTCTTTGCGTGTCCACCCGCTCAGTTCCCTCGCTGACACCAGCGTGATGACCTCCATCATCAGAACTCGGTCCTCCGTTTCCTCCTCCTTGGGATGCCAAGGTAGAGGTAGTCGGCTCAGCGTGTCCTCGTTGCCATGGTGTTTCCCTGACTTATAAACAATCTCATATTCATAAGCTCTCAATGTTAAAGCCCATCGCTGGATGCGGGGAGAAACCATCTGAGGCACTGTTCTCATCTCGTTGAACAGTGACAACAATGGCTTATGATCTGTGTAAATAATAAACTTCCTTCCATATAGGTATTTATGGAAGCGCTTAATGCCATAAATCACAGCTAAACCCTCTTTGTCTAGATGGGAATAGTTTGACTCTACTGTGGTTAAGGTTCGTGACATGACCTCAATGGGTCGTTCTTGTCCATCTGGCATGCGGTGTGCCAACACGGCCTCTTGCCCATAAGGTGATGCAACACATGACAGTATTAAGTCTTTGTGACTATCATAGTGCACCAACACATCTGATGACTGCATTAGCGTCTTTGACTGCTCAAATGCTCTGTCCTGTTCCTCCTGCCATGTCCACGGTGTCTCCTTCCTTAATAGTTTATGTAAAGGAGCTAACAGCGTTGACAGGTTTGGTAGGAACCTATTATAGTAGTTGAGTAAGCCTAGGAAGGCCCTCAGTTCTGTAACATTTGTGGGTGCAGGTGCCTGTTGTATGGCTTTTACCTTGTTTGGCAGGGGGTGGAGGCCTGATGCGTCCACCTTGTAGACCAGGAACTCTGCTTCCTGTTCCATGAAAGCACATTTACTCCGCCTCACCCGCAGACCTGCCTCTCGCAGTCTCCTCAGCACCTCGTTCAAGGTCTCCAGATGTTTGCGGTTGTTCCTACCCGTCAGCAGGATGTCGTCCAAGTAGACAGCCACATTTGGGATTCCTGCCACCAGTCCCTCCATTATTCTCTGGAAAATAGCTGGACTAGAGGAAACATCAATGGGTAAACGATTAACTTGGAACAAACCTTTGTGTGTGTTAATGGTGACATATGACTTTGACCCTTTATCCAGAACGACTTTTCAAATAAATCCTCCAACTTTTGTATTGGATACTGCTCCAGCTTTGAGACTTGGTTAACTGTTAGCTTGTAGTCACCACATATGCATACAGTATCATCTGGCTTTAATACTGGAACAATTGGTGCCGTCCACTCCGAAAACTTTACTGGTTCAATGATGCCTTGCTTTGTGAGTCTCTCCAGCTCGGTCTCCACTTTCTTCCTGATTGCGTAAGGTACGGGTCTTGGTTTGTAGAATCTTGGCGTTGCATTTTCCTTTATGTGTATCTTTGCTGGTGGACCCCTCCAGGGGTTGCAAATGAAGACGTCAACAGCTATTGTTACTAGAAGAAATTATATTTAAGGATATCTATAATAAAACCACACTAGTAGGAATTAAGTTTGAGATATCTCAGAATCCCTAAAAAAACCCAAGTTGGACTTTTAACATTTATTAGGCAGACTGGATATGTATTCCAGATAATTCTATTGTTCCTTGTAGAAATGAACTTTTGAGATATCCATAAGAGCATACTTACTGAACGAACATTTCAGATAATAAGAATCATTAAATCATTATAAATATTTGGCATTATATTATAGAACACAACTGCTTACAGAACATAAAAGTAACGTTACACTTAGTTTTCTAGGTAACTGGTTACTTTTACAATGTGGTAGCTGAGTTACTAACTCAATTACTTTTGGGAAAAAGTTTTTTGTAACTATAACTAATTACTTTGCCCAACACTGGTGAGAAGTGACTTTTGGTGTCATAAAAAGTGAAGAAAATCAACTAAACAGAAGAGACAGTTGTAGGGCTGAAACATGTACAAATCTTTTTTTTTTGTGTGTGTGACTGTGTTTGTGTATGACTGTATATGTCAGGTGGGGCCTTTGACTCCTCTCTTCTCTTGGGACTTCTTTTTATGATATAGATCTTCGTCTCCCCTCTCCCTGCCACACCTGGTGTGGGGTGTGGTGCCTTGGTCTGCCTGAGTGTTCGTGGCTCCCGGGTCAGGGGGTTTAAGATCGTTGGCGCCTGCCTGGTCAATCCCGGCGGCTGCCTGATGGGGTCTGGGTCCCTGGGCTCTGCTGGGTCCCCGGCGGGGGTGGTCGCCCCTGGGTCCCGGGCTCGGCCGGCTAGGGGGTGGGAGGCTTCGGGCGGGCCTGTGGGCTTGCCGCTGAGATCTCCAGGGGCTCTGCCGGCTGCTGGTTGTGGCCCCCCGGGGCGACCCTCTGTGCCTCTCGAGGGGGGCGGGGGCCTTTCTGGTTGCAGTCTCCTTGGGGTTCCTGTGTTCTGGGGCAGCGCCTGGATCTCTGGGACTTGGAGCTCCCCCCGTATCCTACGCATCTTTGGGGGGCGGATCTGTGGTCCCTCACACTCTCTATTGGACGCTCCTATAGAGAAACCTTACATAAACAAGCGCGTGTACACACACAGGTGCTCACATGGTGCTCTCAAAGTATGGGCACATGGGCGCTCTCAAAGTATGGGCACGTTCAACACATGTCTTAAGGCTGTCGTTGCCACTACATGCACTATGACTTATCGTGTGATTCTTCAGTTAAACAATGTTGATTTTATATGTCACCATCAGGTTGACGCGGTGATAGCTTGTTCCTGATGTATTGTTGTGTGTCCCATTTTTTTTCTTCTATTCTTTCTCTTTCTGCAGGTCTAGAAGCAGACTCTTGTTAATTATTGTTCATTTTTGTGGAACACCCCCCTTCTCCCCACCTTGTGTCTTTTCCTTTCTCTTTCACCTCTGACTCCGTGTCTGGTTGGAATTACAAAGCATTCAAAAACAACAACAATAAAGTTTTAAGTATCAGGCGTGACATTAAAAGCAGACGCTTTGATGCTCCACCTGAGAGTAAATCTGTAAGGCTTGTTACCAGCATTCAGACATCAATTCTGTTTGCTTCACAGCCAGACAGGACACGGTAAAAAAAACAACAAAAAAAAACATGTGCAAATCTAAAAAGGCTGCATCTGGATGCACTTTTTAGGGGAAGTTTCACATCTGTCAAATAAAACGTGTCCTGAGCCTGAACCCCCCTATTGTCTCATAAAAACCTTTTGTTTGGTGCTCCTTTGGGCGATGAGGTTTCCTGACCCGATGCAGCTCAGTGTGTTATCACTTCGTTTTTATTTTCAACAAGATGGAAAACTGAAGATATGAAACTAGGTCAAGTCAATAGAAACATCTGCGATAACCACAATCTAACTACTTAGGTTCATTTAATCTCTTTATCAATCTGAGTATCAGCTCTTTTACAGGAGACACCACTGTCTGATCTTGTGATTACATTTAATCTGAGCAACTGGATGTAAGGTTCACTTTAACACTTCCCCTGAGTGAAACCAGTCATGCAGGAGCAGTGTTTACTTCAGTCACACTGCTGAGTGGCCATAAAACAGCACTTTGTCATTCTTGGTGCTGGATCAACATCCAGTAATGATTTCCACTGTGAACTCGCCATCTCTGCCTCGTTGTGTCGAGGTTACTGTCACTAGAGTCCATATTAGCGGGAACAGTTTATCTCCAGCCGTTGCTCACATGTAGATGAGTTTCTATCTGACTCCATCTGAGAAAGCAGACTCCAATCAGGATCTAAGCCTAAAGCATGCATCAAGTCTGAGGGGTGTCGTTGCAATGCGAGTCACCGGCCCACTCTATTACCATGACGACAGAGAGATGACATTAACCATCCATCAGCATATCTGGTTCACACAGAAACCAACAATTTATGGTTGCTTTTCTGGCAGAGAACTAAAAGAAATAAAAAATATATATAGTTATAAGAGGGAAATGCGAGGGTGCTGTTCATCAAGATGTCTGCCAAACGTGCAGAGTATCGGCTCTGAACTAGTCCCACATACACATATATACATAACTTGGTCTATTATTCCTATAGCAGTTCCCTTCTATATGCACTTTTATACATACAAGTTACTACCAGGGCCGGATCATCGTTGCAGGGGCCCCTGGGCACAATGTGATCCCACTCTCAAAGTACAACAGAAAGTAATGCAGGATTATTTAAAAGATTATACAGTTATTGAAAAGTTTGCAAAGAAGAAATATCTGCATGTTTTTTGTTTGTCTCCTTCCTTCTCGTCTCCTCAGGGCTGCATGACTTAATTGTTTTTTAAGTCAACCGTCAAGCAATCAAAATCGAGTGTGTGTGTGTGTGGGTGGGGGGGGTGGGGTCTCCGGAGGACAAAACAGGTGACGCGCCCCGCTCCACAGCAGCGAAAAGCATCAGTGTAATGTAGCAAGTCCATTACACAGGCTTTTGCTATGATTGAAGGATAAATGAAACCAGGCTCAATGATTGTTTTAATCTTTATTTGGAAGGGGTGAAGCATTTGGACCTGTAAGAAGAGTTGGTATGAATATTGAGGATTTAAAGTGGTAAATAAATGATTGAATGTTTGTACTTACCTATTTCCCTTGTGCTTCTGGAAGTGTTCCAGCTAAAAGAGTCCCCGGGGAGCTGGAGCACCTAAAGAAGGTTCCGGAGCATTCCATTCAGGAGGAATCGGAGGAGTGACCTGTGAAATTGCTCTAAGGAATGCAGATTAGTTTCATTGAATGTTTTTAGGATTGATTAAGGATGTTTCTATTTTTGTATTGTAATTATTTAAGGAGATCTTAGAGATGATGATTTAAGTATAATTTAAGAGTATTGAAAGATTGTATTTTTTGTACTTACCTGTGTCTGAGTTTCAGGATTAATCCAATTAGTCACACCTGTTATAAATACAGCTCTGTGTTTGTTGGAGAGAGTTGAGTGTTGGATGGAGCGGCAGGCATGGATTTGTGCTGCCTAGATTTTAATTTTGTAAAATGTAAATAAAATACACTTGGGTCTGCCCTGGACAACGGCCTCCTCAGTATTACTTTTGCTCCGGAGCGCATGAGGGTCTGCTGCTGCTCGAGTGGGCCCCCTTGTGGCTGTGGGCCCCTGGGCCTGTGCCCAGTTTGCCCATATTATAATCCGGCCTTGGTTACAGATATTAAAATAAGGTCAGCTGTGATACAAAAGGGGGAAAAAAGGATCACAAGATGAATACGCTGTTATATTACACAAGATGTACTTTAACTTTAGAAAGCAAACCATAAGTCACTTTACCAGCTACAGGAAAACTCCTATGTTCCTATACATGTTTTATGATCATACTACAGCCACTTTGTCTAAAGCCTAACCATATATAAATCACTATGACTACCGCTGTTGGTATTTAAAATGTTTTTTATATTACATTATTTATATTCATTCATTTATTTATTAACTTATATTTCGAGAGGACAAAGCACTTGAGATGAACCATCTAGTTTCCAAGTGGGTCCTCTATACAAATCAAAACAAATAGTAAATCAAGATAGCAAAAAGTAATTCAATGCCACACATTGAAACCACAATAGGAATAATACAAATAATAAAAATATTTTAAAAAAATTATATTAATAATAATGACAATAAATATAATAAATAAAAAGATAAACAAAAAAGAAAGATAAAAGTGAAAAATAAAAATAAATGAACACATGGGTATTAAATATTCATACAAAGAGATTTTAAACTGACTAATTGTAGTGATGATTCTTACGAAAACAGGCTAATTATTCCAGTCTCTTGGTGCTTTGACAGGAAACGCCAGCATTCCTGACTCCGATTTAGAGAAAGGGATGACGAATGAAACATGATGCATTCTGCGATTGTGTTAATGAGATCTAAATGGTACTGGCAGTGGTAGTTAAGTATGAAGGAAAATTCAAATGAACACACTTAAAAATAAACAACAACCAGTGAAACTCCCGCCTAGCTTCAGGTGTGAGCCAGGAAAAATGATCACCTATATTAACCTTGAATTTAGCATTCTGCATTTACAGAATAATATTCATCTCTATGAAATTTAAACAGGGGCTGCACAATGGCGCAGTGGTTAGAGCTGTTGCCTTGCAGCAAGAAGGTCCTGGGTTCGCTTCCCGGCCCGGGATCTTTCTGCATGGAGTTTGCATGTTCTCCCTGTGCATGCGTGGGTTCTCTCCGGGTACTCCGGCCTCCCCCCACAGTCCAAAACCATGACTGTTAGGTTGATTGGTCTGTCTAAATTGTCCTTAGGTGTGTGTGTGTGTGTGTGTGTGTGTGTGTGTGTGTGTGTGTGTGTGTGTGTGTGTGTGTGTGTGTGTGTGTGTGTGTGTGTGTGTGTGTGTGTGCGTGCGTGCGTGGTTGTTTGTCCTGTGTGCCTCTGTGTTGCCCTGCAATGGACAGGCTCTCTGTCCAGGGTGTACCCCGCCTGATTGCCCATTGACCGCTGGAGATAGGCACCAGCCCCCCGCAACCCCATGTGGACAAAGCGGGTTCAGACAATGGATGGATGGATGGATGGAAGTTTAAACAACATTGTGTTTATTTTTTATGGCGTGATAAGACTAACATTTCTAATTTGCACTAAGGTAAACAATCAATGTTGAGGTGAGTACTATGTGGAGGTGAGTGAAAGGAGACCTGAGACATATACCTACAAATATACGACTATGTATAGTAACCAATAGTACAACAAATACAGATGAACCCAGGAGCCATTCTACAAATACAACAGAACATTTCATAATAGATATTAATGTGATAGATAATCTATCAAATCCAAGGCTGTATTCCGTAGTTTGTCTCAATCTAAGCATGCTGCTCTGGTATTTGTCCGGGAATTGTCTTTGCCGGGTCCAGTGTGTTCCTTGGACTATTGTTAGTACAACCGGAATGTGTTTCCGCTGCGCTGCCAGTTCTATGAATGAACTGAAGAAAGTTTTCCTGAAACGAGACCTCTTGACTGGCTGGTCCCATCTCAACTTGTTGGGTCAAGCAACATCTTCGAAACTTCACCAGCTCGTCTCTGATCTGTTGATTCAACAGGCCGTAGAAGAACGGGTTAACAGCGAAGGACGCGTAGGCGAGCCAGGTGACCGCCTCCTCTAAGTCTCCAGGGCTTTGCATGGATCCGGTCAGAGACATCTGAAGGTGGAAGATGAAATAAGGTAACCAGCAAACCAAGAACTGGCCCACAATGAATACCAAAGTGAGTGCTGCTTTTCCTCCACTGAAGGCCCTCTCTGGGGACAGTCTCTGTGGCAGAGTACGGATAGTGGTGATCATGGTGGTTTGGCTGTTGATGGAGTCCGAGCGATCTTTGGCAGGGCATGCGTTGACCCACGTTGGCACAGGCAGGACCTGCTGCAGTGCAGCAGAACGAGCCACCTTGTAGACAGCACAGTAAACGCTAAAGATGACCACTGCAGGAGCCAGGAAACAAACCACACCGAAGAGCACAGCAAACGCTTTTCTCAGGTGACTGTGGCTGGCATGAAGTGAACAGTGGCCTGCAGCGATGGAGCTCTGATGTCCATAGGCCGGCCATCCAAACAGCGTGACCAGAGCTAAGAGTAGGGACTTCATCCAGATTAGGAGCATTACTCCAATGGCAAGGTTGATGGTCATCTTGACTTCATAACGCATTGGGTGAACAATGTAGAAGTAACGCTCCAAGCTGATGGCTGTGATGGTGAGAATTGAAAGACAGATGAGGAAAACGTTGAGAAAGATGTACACCTGACACTCCAGAACCGTAAACGCTATGGTGCCAAAAAACGGAGAGCTGGAAATGATACCCAAAGGCATGAGGAGGATGGCACAGAGCAGGTCCACGGCACAGAGGTGACACACAAACGCAAACTTTTTCATGTGAGGAGCTCGAGCAATGGCCACCATCACACCAGTGTTGGCCAGAAGGGCAATGAGATTGAGGGTCACCATGCAGAACAACCCAAACAGGTCTTTGACTTGGGACTGGGAGCTTGTGACGATGCCTGCATCAGCAGGAACTGTGGGATTTGGAGTCCACAGGGAAGTGGTGGCATTGGGATCGGGTTGGTCTAGCACAGACACGACCATGGAACCAGTCTTATCAGCCATTATTTATTCAACTTGTCCTTCATTTTCAACTCTGATGAACTCATAAGTGACTTTCCTGTGAGGAGAAAAATACATTTTAGTGATGTTACACGCTAAATGACTTATCATTTTAAGGTTAATTATGGGAGAATAAATGTACTGAGTATTTAAATGTCAGCCTAATAGCGTAGCACAATGTCATGAACAGATACACTACATGCTAATCAACACTGCAAGATAAACAGGTCTTCCACTTGGCTTTGGGAAACACAAGGAAGATTTAGAAAACTCCACAAACAGCTGAAAACTGTTTATGTAATATGTTTAAAATTCTGTATTTTATTACATTTTTGCAATAAAACAATGACATTTGACTTCATGAATAATGTCTTATCAAAACAGAAACACATCTATTAAAACGCCGAGGAGAGTGAAACCGACTTACCCATGATTCACTTCTTGTTGGGCTGGTTTTAAATCCTGGTTCCACCCGTTTTTTATTCTTCATGTTCATTTAAGCAAAATCCAGAGGAAATTCAACTGAACTTCTAAATGCAAGCATGAAGAGACATCATGGTGGTGTTAGCACAGTTTATCCTGTAGATTACTGATGAGTGACTCCATCATGGCCTGCAGTTCTAAGTTAAACCCCCTCACTCTGTCTCTCCTCCAGAAACACTCTCAGTCCCGTCCTCTGTGTGAGGCGGTGACTGTCACACATTGTTTAGAACAAATGTGTGGACTGGAGTCTTTTTTTTTCTCTCCCTTACCACACATCACTGTGCCTCTTTAGATCCGTCTTCTCTGGGTCCTAACATCCACCAAACCCCAGAGGCCTATTTCTAGAAAACACTGAAATGCACATTTTAGTCATAAGGAGGATTTTGTAAATAGGTTCTTTTACTTTTTTGCTCCCACCAAGTTTTGTAAAAACTTTTTTTTTTTTCAAATTGCTTCCAAACACTTTTGCTGCAGCAGTTCACAGCTGAGTGTGAAGCAGCTGGGATGAGAATCAGCTCCTCTAAATCTGAGACCATGGTCTGGATATGGAAAGGGGTAGAATGCCTTCTCTGGGTCAGGGATGAGGTCCTGCCCCAAGTGGAGGAGTTTAAGTATCTCAGGGTCTTGTTCACGAGTGAGGAAAAGACAGAGTTCAAGATTGACAGGCGGATTGGTGCTGCGTCTGCGGGCGTTGTACCATCTGTGGTGGTGAAGAGAGAGCTGAGTCAGAAGGTGAAGCTCTTGTTTTACCGGTCAGTTACGTTCCTACCCTCACCTGTGGTCACGAGCTTTGGGTAGTGACCGAAAGAATGAGATCACGAATACAAGCGGCCAAAATAAGTTTTCTCCGCAGAGTGGCTGGGCTCTCCCTTAAGAGACAGGGTGAGAAGCTCAGTCATTCGGGAGGGGCTCGGAGTAGACCCGCTGCTCCTCCACATCGAGAGGAGCCAGTTGAGGTGGCATGGGCATCTGGTTAGGATGCCTCCTGGACGCCTCCCTGGTGAGGCTTTCCAGGCACGTCCAACCGGGAGGAAACCTAAAAGAAATATTCTGATGATTTATTAGGCTGCTGCCTCGCGACCCGACGCCAGATAAGTGGACAAAAATGGATGGATGGCTTCAAAAGACATTTCATTTAGTTCACACCAAACATGTTAAACCTAACTTTATCTCGTCTAAACTTTTATTCACCCACACCTGGGTCATGCTTATCCTGACTATATGGTCTGGGTACTAATTCTAGCATTTTAAGTCATTCTTTTAAAGGACAATGATGATTCCTAAAGTGGTAATAATGCAGTGTTGACTTAACTATTAGTAACTTTCTCTTGTGTTTTTAGAGAATAATGTTATTTTAGAATTACAGGATTTCCATAGAATCAAACAATAATTAGACATTTTTACCCAATCAAGTTACACCTAGAAATGTCTTAAAGTGACATTTCTGTCATCAACATACTGATGGAGATCATGGAGGATTAAAGTTTCTAGTATCAACTATATCTGTGCCTGCAGTGGGAAGTGTGCACCAGCAGAAAACTTCAGATGACATGAAGACAGAAAACAGACACGTGTTGAAGCTTCTTCATTTAATCCAGCTTTAGTGCAAAGATATCAAGACCAAGACCAGTAAGGCTTCTACTTACTGGCTTTGTCTGAAACAACCTGTGTCTGAATGTAATATTAGTAATTTAGGTCTGATCATCAGGAGTCTTCTTACAGTTCAAGTAAACATCAGACTTCTAACAGGTGTTGAAACACCAGCTTCATACTTCTGTAAACACAAACACACATTCATAAGCTCCCTCTTACTGTCTAAGCAGCTGCTAAATTATCTCTAAATACGTAATTATCTTCAAACCAACTGGTTTTGAGTCGTCTACACTTCTAGACTCATCTAGAAAAAAAGCGTCTTCTTCTGACGTCAACCCCTCACACCACCATGTTTAAGAAAGTGTCCCAGATATGAAACTTGACAGAATTTTCTTTTAATTTGACATTAGCATTCACAGACCCCCCCACCCCACCCCCACCACCAGTGGTTGCATAAACCTGACTCTGCTCCATGATTTGCAAGGAAATAACAATTCAGTCACAAACAAAAGTGACACGTACTGTAGTTCAAAAACCCAAGTGTGCAAAACTCCAAACTTCGAAACATCGTAAGACAATCCAACATCAGCATTACAGTGAATGGTCAAAATAGGGAGATTGTACGTTTCAATACATTCTACCACATGTGCATAAGAGTGTAAGGCACAGAAAAGAACGAAGCATTCATGCACTCCTGTAGAGACGTCCGCATCTAGAGCCTGGACCGTTAATGAACCTGCGCGGGTGTCGATGAGGTCATCAGCGCATTTTCAGCTCCAGCAGGTAGCGAAGGCGACACTGGCTCTCTTTGTAGATGAGATACTCGCTGTTGCTGAAGTAGCTGTCTGAGTACTGGGGCTGATTTATGGGCTTCCCCTGAGGAACAGTGACCTCTTTTCCCTCCAGAGTGATGACAACGTCCTTAGACGGATCTGAGAATGCAAGACGGGGGAAAACTTAACTAAACAGGAAATCACATTAGAGCAAAGGCATAATAAACCCAGACTGCCAAAGGGCTCAAACCCCTGAAAGGGTCCCGTACCTGGTTCCACCCGGCCTCGCGCCACCACACTATCATAACCTGCAGGGGCCTTCTTCAGGGTACAGTCATCTTTGGTGATGGTGCACTCCTTACCAAGAGCCACCTCACTCAGAAACATCACTCCAGTGTTCTTTGAAGGTCGCACTAAAAACAGACAACAGAACAAGGACTTTAAAATATGTTTACATAAAATTCCAGATGATTTTCTCCAGGCCTCACCATAACACGCAGACTTGGAGTTCTCAGATGCAAAGTAGATCCCACAGCCAACACGGCCTCCAGAATGGGGCATGATCCTCAAGCCGCTCTTCAGGATAGCTGCCACCACTGCTATGTTAGTGCCGTGCCACAGCAGCCGGCGGTTCTCCAGACCGTCATTCTCACTGAAGCGCTGTCCCTGCAGCGTGCCGTGTGTTAGTCCACATGTCCTCTGGGTTATTTTTAACACTAACAGACAGAGCATCTACCTCAGCACTGCGATCGACCTCCCAAACGTTGATGATTTGTGGTTTAAAATAATCACCAGATGTCTCTTTTAAGTATTTCTGTATGATCTTCAAAAAAAAAATAAAAATAAATAAAGCATCAAGTTCAAGTGCAAAATCTTCCCCAGTCTCAAGACTCGGTACCTTAAACATTTCTGTATTTTTCTCCAGCAGACTGAGCTTGCATTTGAGAGACGCGTAGTCCTGGTCGAGACGATGAGGAACCGTCTCTACCATCTCTTCCTCGGCCTTCTCGGTCTCTGACTTCAGAGTCTGGGCCAGCTCTATGTCTGCCAACACCTTCGTAGAGAAGAGTAAAACTGAGAATGTGAAGGCCACGACCGAAAATACATTTAATTATATGAAAATGAACCCCACCATGAGCATCTCCTTCTTTTTTGCGATGATCTCTTTATCATTAATGGTGGGCGGCCTGTTTCTGCCAAAGTTGTGTGGGATTGTTGTGAAGAACTTTGATGAAAGTTCTTCCAGGCGATTCTTTCCGGTTTTTTGAGTCATGGCTGCTTCAATCTCCTCCAGAACCTCAAAGCCCTTTGCAATCTGCACCTTACTGAGCTTCCCCAAAGGCATCTTTTTGACGTCTGTGTGACGAAGAACAAACACAAAGATGGTTTATTTGTTTATTTATGTGCGAGAAGTAGCTTTATTTACGGTTATACTTTGTTTACTTTGGCAGCAATGTGATAAATGAAGAGATGGGTGAAAGTACGACATGCCGGCCAGAACCTGCACTTCTACGTGCCGAGACAAGACGTGGAAATGCGGACTTCGCCCTTTAGCTGATCATTTACACATCACTGCAGCTCTTTTAGGACCATTACAGAAACCTGTTTGTTTCAAACACACCCACCTAGGTTCATACACTCCATCGCCTCTTTGAACATGTCGTTGCTGAAGATAAGAGTGATAAGCTTCTGCGTGGCTTGGTCGAGGGTGCAAGGCTGGACATTTCTAGAGACTTTGACTGCTTTTCCATCAACACTGTCCACCTGCAGTGCCAACGAGTAAACCCATAACGTTACTGCTATAGAACACACTAAATTATAAAGGCCTCCGCACCATTGCTGCTCTAAGTTTCACATCACCTTGACCTCAGCGTCCTGCTCTCCATCCACCTCGATCAGCGTGTACTTCCCAGAGTGAGAAACAAAGACGGCCCGGTCACTCCAGTTGTTCTTGGTCTTGTCTTTGAACTTCTTCTCAAAGTCCTTGATGGCCGTCTCCAGCTTACTGAAGTCAGACAGTTTGCTCTGTCCCGTTTCTCCCTGGATTCAGAGAAACAGAAGAAAACAAATCACCAGTGTAAAATAGTACACAACAAATAAAAACGTATAAATAAAACTTAAGGGTCATTTATTCCACGATGTATTGATATTTGCCTCAAATAATGGCGTGTGTTTACTTTTTAAATGTTTGTCTTTTAGAAAGACATGTGAAGGACTCAGAGATCAAACGAGCAGCTGGAGTTAAAAAAAAGACTGTTGCTGCTTTTGGCCACCAGTGTTAGGAAAGTTACTTTTATCGCCGTTTTTGCCGTGTTTTGCGATGGGCCTATCGCACGTCCTGTTATCGCGATGACGATAATTTTTCGATATATTGTGCAGCCCTACCAGGCAGTGATTTCAGATGGTGAAATCAAGGTAATGCTTAGGTATAATAAATTAAGACTCTAAAATTGGACAAAGGATAAGGCAGTCTCTTGTTTTCTGTAGTAATGTTGCTTATTTTTTACTCTTGTCTCTACTCAGACGTTGTATAAGGATCTCTGCAGCGGTACAGTGAAGTCTGGCCGCATGCATCAGAGGCACAATCCAGGTGTCTCGCTTAAATTAAAGCAAAGACTAAAGCCACTGAAGTTCCACTTTGCTGATGCACAGGTAAATGTATACTGACTTACAATAAGCTGCATCACATTTATTTATCTCGATGCATGGCCAGTGGGCCACCTGGGTCCATTAATTAATTAATTTATTTATTTATTATCAACAAACAAAACATTCCTCTCAGCATTAGGCAACATTTACTTACGATATCGTAAATAAATGTTGCCTAATGCTGAGAGAAATGTTTTGTTCATTTTTATGTTAACGTGTTTTATAGGTTGACGAGCTGACAGAGTGGATTGGTTCATGCTCAGGAATAGATAAACTAATAATGAAGGGAGAGTTCCAGTTTCTGGACTTGGTGTTTGATGTCCTTGTTCCAGAGGTACAACGCAGTCTTCAGCAGTGATTGGTATGCAAGTTACTTTTCGAAAACATTTGACAGTGTATGAATTAATCCTTGTGTGCATGCTTTTCAGGTGTTGAAAAAATGGGAGGGGATGAATCGATATGCAGCTGAGAAAGCCATGCTTCAGCGAATTCGTTTGTACCCTAAATAAAATGGTTGTGAAATTAAGTGTTTGTTTTATTGTCTTTCACTCAAAATAATACAGAAATACTAATTAGCTAAATAGCTATCAGCTGTAGTAGTTACCGTTGCAATGAGCTGCGGAGGCAGCAGACAGGTACCGGATAGCCAAGCGGGGTGCAGCAGTGGCAGCTGCCGAGGAAAAATCTCGGGCGTGGGAGGAGTTTGGTGAGGCCATGGAGAAAGACTATCGATCAGCTCCAAAAAGGTTCTGGCAAACTGTCCGGCGCCTCAGGAGAGGGAGGCAGCAACTCGCTCACACTGTTTACAGTGGGGATGGGGAGCTGCTGACGTCAACTGGGGCTATAGTCGGACGGTGGAAGGAATAATTTGAGGAGCTCCTCAATCCCACCTATGCGTATTCCGAGAAGGAACCAGAGCCGGGAGACCTGGGGATGGACTGTCCAATCTCGGGGGCAGAAGTTGCTGAGGTAGTCAAACAACTACACCGCGGCGGAGCCCCGGGGGCGGATAAGATTCGTCCTGGGAATCTCAAGTAGGGCTGCTCGATTATGGCAAAAATAATAATCACGATTATTGTGACTGAAACTGAGATCTCGATTATTTAGGACGATTTTTCAATTTATGTTGATTTTATTTGTTTTTATTCAGTCATAAAATTGCTCAGGGCACAATCAGGACAAAAATAAATAAGAAACAAGATGATCACTAAAATAACTCCTGATTCCCGGTATAAAAATACCAATATACTTATAGCTCATAGTCTATGACCCAAGGGCTATAGACCTTGGTTTAACTCATTTAAGTCTAACCAGTACAGACCCAAATACCAATATCTTGCAAATACTGACAGCAAGAATTATACAGTGGCATTTATAACAAATAAATGTAAATAAATTGATGTTTACAAAATGTTGCATAACATTTATTGAGTCATGTCAAGGTGCTGTAGGAGCGTGCACTAGCACCGTGTCCTCAGAGAGATTAGTTATTATTTATCAGCGTGAGGAACTTATTTCTACCTTATTTATAAACTATTTATTTACAAGTCCATCAGTTAATGTAATAATTGTCCCAACCACAGCTGCACCCCCCACCCCCCAACCCGGTCTCACAGCAATCAGGGGCAAGCTGCACGTGTGTTTAGCACGCGCACATTTAGCCGTTTTTAGTGGCTCAGGAGTCCGCAGGTGCGGTGTGTGTCACTCACTCTGGTTACTCCAACAGGGAGCCGGCTCCGAGAGCTGTTTCCAGTGTTGCCAACTGTTTTTGACTGAAAGTAGCTGAAGTTCCCCCCGAAAGACGTTAGATGTCACCAGATGACGTCACGTGCTCATTTGCATAAGACGTGATGACGTCACCACGTCTGCGTTGTGACGTCATCGGTCTTGTAGAGTAAATCAATCAAATAAAACCCACGTGATTTTATAAAAAATGTATTTAATTTATTTTTTAATATTTTATTAAAATGAAAAACCCATAGAATACAAAACAGCACCTTTTTATAAAAGTTTAAAATGTGCAATGTTTATGAACTCATCATAGAGTTCCAATGTTCCTTGATGTGCGAGCATCGACATGGGTGTGAGAAGCCAGCAGCCATGTGCGATAGCGACGCTGCCCTGCGGTCAGCCTACCAGTGCCAACTGAGCTCAGCTGCCGAAATGCGGCAGGATGGCGGAAGGAGTGGTTGCCCTTTATCTAGCTCCGGTGGCTATCTTAAATAATGAACTTGTTAATAAACTATTTGCATGCGAGAGAAAAAAACTCACTGGTCATATTATATCACCCTTCACAACCAGACGAAGGAGTTTCAGCAAAACGTAAAGTGTGTGTGAGTCAACAAAGGAAGAAGAAAATGGCTAAAGCTAACAACAAAGCTAACAAAGCTACTCACGACGACTACCTCGCCCCAGCGAAGATGAGCACAAACTCAAAAGGTAAGAAAACTTATCATCACCCTGCAAAGCTGTAACTATTTCAATATTTACACTATTAACAACAATGAAACAGTTTTATCTATTAGTTTCAGTTCAGATGTTTTATTAACAATAGATTAACTATTTAACATATTTATTTAAAGGCCAACCACATGAACTATTGACATATTTACAGTATTAACAAAAAGGATTTTTTATTGTAGTTCCAGTTGATATTTTTTACTTACAATAAATTAGCTATTATACAGCTTGATTTAAAGGCCAATCACATGAACTATTGACTTATTTACAATATTAACAGAGTTTTTTTTAATTGGAGTTCCAATTTATTTTTTTTTATTAACAAATCACATAAACTATTGACAAATATTTACAAAGTTAACTAATTTTAATGTTTTTTTTTTAAATCTGCTTACTCTAGATCGTCGAGGGCCCTGAGGCAGAACTCCATGTCCTCTATACAAGCACTATCAGTGCTTTCCCTCTGAGAAGCAGTGCTGGATGACTGCATGCTTGGACCTGGACAACTGTCTGCTTTAAAAGAGTAGGCAGCAGACGTGGCAAAGAGATTTAGCACCTTATCTGGCAACTTGTGCTCATAACACGTGTTCCCAGCTAGTCTTAAGCCATATCTTATGTGGAGGATGGAGGTGAGAGTTTGGAGGGACATGCGGCTTCTTAATTTGTTTTTAATGACACCCATTTGGCTGAAGAGTCTTTCTACTGCAGCATTTGAGTGAGGCAGCGAAAGAACTGCAACTGCTGCAGACGCCAACTCTTCAAATGGGTTAAGGCCTGCTGCATCCCTGTGCTTTTTGACCTCAAACCAGAACCCAGTGGTGTTGGCTGTTTCCTCCCATCTCTGAAAATGGACACTTCTCCACTGATTAATTATGCGGTCAGTTGTTTCAGGATCATATCCTAATAAGACCATCAGCTTTGCCATGTCATCTGGGTTCTTGTTTTGTTTCAGGGTCTCTCCGACGCTGAACAATGACATGTGCTGAAGAATTTCCAGACTGTCCGGAAGTCTTGCTCGAAGCTCATTGGCTAGGGCAACGGTGTAACTAATACACCTCCGTCTCACACAGTCCTCATCCTCAGGGGAGATGGTAAGCTCTGCTGTTTTGGACTCAAATGCAAAGCCAAGATACGGCCTGGGTGAGATGTGGTTCTCTATTGGGTCTTTCAGGATGTCAATTGTAGCCCCAGGATGAAGAACTCTGCTGCACACAGATTTAATTAGTAGAATTAAACAGTCCAGGAGCTTGAGAGGATCTGTTTGCTCTCCCTCAAAGGCCTTCACTGCAGCCTGCACCTCACCAAGGATTGATTTCAGGTAGGTCAAGTACAGTAGGTTCTGTGGGTCAGCATACATTGAATGCAAAACGTCTGCCATGTAGCAATGCTCGCTTGTCTTGGTCAGACTAAAATGGAGCTTTAGCTCCTCCCACTGACTGAGTAGTCTTGATACAGCAGGTTCTATTGAAAGCCAGCGTGTGGCACAGACTCTTGTTATGGCCAATGGCCTCTCGCCACAGTTTATGGTTTCATAAACTGTCCTGTATGCTTCTTTTCTTTTAGGGGAGATGGAGAACCAATTGTAGGTTTCCCTGACCAGGAACTCAACACTGCGAGGAAGAGTGGTTTTGGAAGCAGAGCTGACAGCCAGTTGCAAGGAGTGACATACACAGCGGATGAGAACAAGGTGTTTTATTTCTTCTTTAAGAATTTTGTGAACACCATTGTATATCCCTGTCATTACTGATGCATTGTCTGTTCCAATGCCAAGCAGGTTCTCCTTCTCAAGGCCAGACTGATGGAGAAAGGAGAGAACTGCCTTGGCGATGCTCTTCGCATCCCCTCCCTCCAGCTCAAGAAGGCCAAGGAAGGTGTCCACCACGTGTCCCTTTCCCTCACTAAAATAGCGAACCACAATGCCCAGATATTTGGAGACACTGACATCTGTGCTTTCATCAAGCAAAAGGCTGTATTTGTTACTGCCAATGTCAGCCACCAACCGCTGTATGAAATATGGAGCCAAAACACCATTTATCATCTCAGTGCATTTGGTACGGTGCATCCGAAAATTTTGGGCAATACTAGAATCAGGGAAAGCTGCTTTGCATGCTAAACCAATGTGGTCACATGACAAAATTGAGCAGTGATCACTGATAGCCAAAGCAATTGTGGCCTCTGCCTGCTTCAGTGTGTCCGTTTTTTTGGCAACGAATGTCAGTTTGGGTTGGCTTGCCTGATTGTAAGGCTTAGCCTTCTCGATGTGCTTCTGGGTAGCTGCATGCTTTTTAATGTCTGACAACTTTGCATAGAGGTCTGTTTTGCAGTACATGCAGGTAGCTCTAATGTCACTACCTGCATGTGGTTTCAGCCAACCTTTAAATTCAGGTAGTGACTCCCATTCTTTGCGGTACTTTTGGAAATAGGATTTTGGTTGTGTCATTGTTGTAATGTATTTACTTTGCCAATTTGTCTAATAAAATGTTAAATGTCTGTTTTTTATCGAAATCTGTGTCACTATGATGAAGGGAAAACAAGGAGGTGGGACAGGATGAAAGAAGTAAAAACAATTTTTTTAATTTTGAGTTGGGGAAAATGTGAGGTGAACTGAGAAATTAATAAATAGTAAGCAATAAAAAAAGGCTGGGGACACTTTAGAAAGAGGAAGGAGAAATAAATGTTTAAAAGATGAAAAAACGTATATAGGAATTAAAGAAATTATTGCTTTCTAAGCAAAAGTAAACAGTGTAAAGTAGCCTTTAAAAAGGCTGTTTAATGTATGTTCAATTCTCTATGGAACTGATACAAAGTCTGAAAATAGGTGGATATCTGTTGGTGGGTGGCCAGTGTGTGACTAACAAAAGGAAAAAATTGGTCTTAAATACTTGGATATTTCTTTTGTACAATTAAATTTATTTTCTCTGTAAAACAAATTTATTAGTTGGAGGGTGAAAACCCACAAATGGTTTGATTGGTCAACGGGGGTAGCATGATCATGCTGCATGCACATGCGCAGATCATTTTCTTTCTGATCATCTGGAGGAAGGACACGGTCCTGTCGCTTCAAATTCATCTCTAATCTGCAGGTAAAGTCGGCATCTCGGCAACAAAGTTGTAGTCGAAGTAGCTGAGGAGGGTCGGAAATGTCACCAGAATTGTCGCTAGTCGCTTTTTTGAAAAACAGTCGTTAAGGGGGTCTGAAAAGTCGTTATAAATGGTGACAGATTCGCTAAGTTGGCAACACTGGCTGTTTCTTTAGCGGCTGACACATCACTACATCATTCCCTTTCCTAATGTCCTGAAGAACGGTCGGGAGCGCAGGCGGAGTGTTTAGCTAACCTGCAGGAAATGTCAACGACAGTTATCCAGAAAGTAGCTAAGGGTTACCAGAGATGTTTCTGAGGTGTTCGCTAGGAACTTTTAAGATTTAAAAAGTCAAGAAGGGGGTCTGAAACTCTGTTAGAAATAGCGTCCAAGTCGATAAGTTGGCAACACTGTGGGAGGAGCGCTTCATTTGCAACTCAGGGCAGCGCAAGTGGGAGGAGCAAATAATCGGCTTGTTTTATTTTAATAATCGTTCAAAACTCAGATCGTAATCATGATTAAAATTCGATTAATTGAGCAGCCCTAATCTCAAGGCTATGGATGTTGTAGGACTGTCGTGGTTGACACGTCTCTGCAACATTGCATGGTCATCGGGAGCAGTTCCTGTGGAGTGGCAGACCGGGGTGGTGGTCCCCATCTTTAAGAAGGGTGACCTGAGGGTGTGTTCCAACTATACGGGGATCACACTCCTCAGCCACCCTGGAAAGGTCTACTCCAAGGTACTGGAGAGGAGGGTCTGTTCGATAGTTGAATCTCAGATTGAGGAGGAGCAATGTGGTTTTCGTCCTGGCCGTGGAACTGTGGACCAGCTCTATACCCTTGCAAGGGTGATGGAGGGGGCATGGGAGTTTGCCCAACCAATCCACATGTGATTTGTGGATTTGGAGAAGGCTTATGACCGTGTCCCCAGGGGCACCCTGTGGAGGACGCTCCAGGAGTATGGGGTGGGTGGCTTTCTGTTAAGGGCCATTCAGTCCCTTTACCAGAGGAGCGTGAGTTTGGTCCGCATAGCTGGTAGTAAGTCGGACCTGTTCCCGGTGAGGGTTGGACTCTGCCAGGGCTGCCCTTTGTCACGGTTCTGTTCATTACCTTTATGGACAGAATTTCTAGGCGCAGCCGTGGTGTGGAGTGTGTCGAGTTTGGTGGCAGGAGAATCTCGTCTCTGCTTTTTGTGGATGATGTGGTCCTCCTAGCTTCATCCAGCTCTGACCTTCAGCTCTTGCTAGGTAGGTTTGCGGCCGAGTGTGAAGTGGCTGGGATGAGGATCAGCACCTCATCTGAGACCATGGTTCTTGACCGGAAAAGGGTGGCTTGCGAACTCCAGGTCGGGGGAGAGGTCCTACCTCAAGTGGAGGAGTTTAAGTATCTCGGGGTCTTGTTCACGAGTGAGGGTAGGAGGGATCGGGAGATCGACAAGCGGATTGGTTCAGCGTCTGCAGTGATGCGGACGCTGAGCCGATCTGTCGTGGGGAAGAGGGAGCTGAGCCAGAAAGCCAGGCACTCGATTTACCGGTCGATCTACGTCCCAATCCTCACCTATGGTCATGAGCTTTGGGTAATGACCGAAAGAACGAGATCGCTGATACAAGCGGCCGAAATGAGTTTCCTCCGTAGGGTGGCCGGGCTCAGCCTTAGAGATAGGGTGAGGAGCTCGGACATTCGGGAGGGACTCGGAGTAGAACCGCTGCTCCTCCGTATCGAAAGGAGTCAGTTGAGGTGGTTTGGGCATCTGGTCAGGATGCCTCCTGGACGCCTCCCTGGGGAGGTGTTTCGGGCATGTCCTGCCGGCAGGAGGCCCCCGGGTCGACCCAGGACACGTTGGAGAGGTTACATCTCCAATCTGGTCCGGGAACGCCTGGGGGTCCTGCTGGAGGAGCTGGTGGAGGTGGCTGGGGAGAGGACGGTCTGGAGCTCCCTAGTTGGGATGCTGCCCCCGTGACCCGGACCCGGATAAGCGGAGGAAGAAGACGACAACAACGGCAATGAGCTGCTGTGATACACATATAGGACAGTGTTATTGATATTTTGTAACAAATTTTTGTTGCTGGTGAGACAGGAGTGTTGTTGAAGTGTTTTTCACTGCTCCTGGGAGTCCTGTACTTTAGCAATTGGTGTAGGTCAAAAGTTCCATCTTGGGCTTAACTATAAAACTGAATATTAAGCAAGTACTATCATGTTTGCATATCTTGAAAAGTCTTAGTTTAATGTGTTCTCATTTTTTCCATATGTTTGTATTCACTTTACAGCCTTTTATTGTTGTAATTATTATATATATAAATGTGCTACTGTCATAAAAATTCCCTGTCTGAAGGACAAAGGGATTTAATATTCAATTTTCATGCAACGTAGGTAACAACGTTATTTAAAAGTTTGCCAGTCCAAATTTGAAGAGAAAAAAAATCTGAAATAAAAAATGCTTTTTCCGGTAAGTTTTGTTTAAAAAAACTACTTCCTGTGAAAGTAATGACTTCTGGTCAAGGTAATGACCCACCGTATCGTATTTCTGTTGGATATGTATATGTTTATATACATATCGAAGAGAAAAAAGACAGGTATGGTTTTTCTCGTCAAATCCAATCTACTTCCGGCGAAGGAAATGACCCTATGTCTTGCTTTTCCGGTTACGTCATTTCCGGTCACAGCAAAGAAGACGCCAGATGCTTGTGATAACAAGAGCTTCATTATTCAATTGTAATTTAACGCCAACTTCAAAAACTGATGAAAATTAATCGATAAACTTACCACTCTGCCCCACCTGTTCCATGAATAGTATTGGTTGTTAGCTTTAATAACTTGGATCACGTAAAACTTATTGTTGTTGTGTCCTATGTTGGTCTGGTTGAGCATGCAGTCATAATCCTCGTAAACCTGGTGGAGAAAGTTTGATCAAAACTAAGTTTAATTATTATATATTAAATAAGGCAGGGCTGTTCAAATCTGGTCCTGGAGGGCCACTGTCCTGCAGGTGTTAGCTGTTTCCCTGCTCCAACACACCTGATTCAACAGTTCAGTCACCTCTTCTGCGTCACCCACTGATTTAAACCAGGTGTGTTGGTGCAGGGAGACATGCAGGCAGTGGCCCTAAAGGACCAGAACTTTATTATAAGTGGACAACCTCTCCAGAGGAGGACAGGGGACAGTGATCATCCACTTTCCTTTTGCCTTTTACTTGTGGCCCAGCAGCCAGAAGGGCCTCCTTTGCAGAGGTGAAGGCATCCTTGGGCTTAGCCTCCGGCTCTTCCTTCACCTTCTTTCCTCCTGCCTTGGCAGCAGCAGCTTTTCTCTTCGGTGCCATGGATGTTAAACCTGAACAGAAACGGGTTGTGTTCAGGAGCAGCGGCATGGTGTCCAGACACCAGCGGCCATGTCTCAACTTGCCCTGGGCTGGCTGTCAAGCAGCCCCATGATGCAAATAAGATCATGTCACATAAAGAGAGAATAAAAAGAGCCTTCCGCCCAATTACAACCCAGCCGGGTCAATAAGTATACATGTCTGCAGTTTCAATAAGGCTATGTTCAGATATGCAGCAGCGCCTCCTTACCTGCTTTAGCTCCTGGGAACTTGTCCTTTAGCTGTGACTGATGTTAGCAACAACAGAAAGAGGTATGGTTCTACTATCTGCGGAAGTTAGACACTTCCTGGAGGCTGAGCAAGGCCCGCGGTAACTTTACAGTCTGGACGGAGTGGGACTGTAGGGTTTCTGCTGGAGTCGGTACAGCCAAGCTAGCAGCTAGCTCGATGCTGCCATCTAGCCAGCTTAGCCGGAAACGTCACTGTGGGGGTTTTGGGACCTGGGTATTTGCTGGAGTTGGTGTCATAGCTGTGCGTTATTTATATAGATTAGTTCATTCACAGAGCGAACTCCGTGGTACAAACAAAATCACAGAAATAAGAACAGCTGTCATTTTTCAGATTTTATTCCTTCCTGTAAAAATGTACCTTCTAAAATCATTAGTTTCTATGATGTCTTCTTGCATCAGTTGGGCGTTTGTTCTCAGTGGTGGAATCACACAGTGGACCTTGTTAGGCAAAGCATTATTGAGAACATAAGGATCAATGCTTGCGTGGTACTAACCTTTTTCCTTGTCCATCATTTGAACAGTCGGTATTGCACAACTGAAATACATTTTTGTGCTGCTAACTCAAACATGCAATGAGCCGATCACAAAGCAGCAGCTTGTTTAGGAATCTAGGTGTGGAAAAGACAATCTGCTGATGTTCAAACTGACCATCGGATTCTGAGAGACTCTGGTGGTTTGGTTGGTTTACAGAGAATGATCAGAAAAAGATGCTGTGTGTCTTGCTGAGGTCAGAGGACTTGTTCGTTGAGCCAATTCAGGTGGCTCGGGCATCTGATTAGGATGCCTCCTGGACACCCCCCTGGTGAGGTTTTCTAGGCATGTCCAGATCTAAAGGAAGACCCTGGACAAGCTGGAGGGACTGTGTCTCTCGGCTGGTCAGGGAACGCCTTGGGATTCCCCCGGAAGATCTGGCCCAAGCGGCTGGGGAGAGGGAAGTCTGTGCCACCCAACTTAGGCTGTTGCCCCCGTGACCCGACTTTGGATAAGCGGAAGAAAATGGATGGATGGATTGTTCCAGATAGAAAGGCATTAGCTCAAGTAACCACCGTAGTCATCCAAGATCTGCACAACAGCATCTATGAACCATAACAGCTGCTCCAGATGGACTCCAGCAGCAGAAGACCACACCAGGTGTCTCGCCTGTCAGCTAATAACAGGAAATTAAGGCTACAATTATCACAGGATCACCAGAACTGGACCAGAAGAGACTGGAGAAACATGTCCTGGTCTGATGAGTTTGGACTTCAGCTGCAACATCTTTGATGTGATGAATGAAGGTTCTGAAGGTAAAAGGGGATCCAACTTAGTAATTATTGGATACATCCAATAAACTGGCCGACAATGTATATTTCCATTTTCTCTACCCACTATAGTTAGAAGTACATGCAGACATGTTCATTTGTTAGCTGAATAACTGTTTGTTTGCATCAGGGGTATTATTGGTGACAGATTTAATACAAGTATAAACGACATTATGCACCTTGTATTTTATTCCCCAGTCACAAATCCAAAAAGTCTTGAATTAATCTGGTTTGTCTGGCCCCTGCCTTCTAATCCGGATTTAGAGTCGTTGTTATTGCAACTTCACTTTGTTGTGAATTATGCTATAAAAATGGTTCATCACCGAGGAGCCTATGCTTCATTTGCATTTCTATTTTCCAGCTTGCCTTATTTATTGCATAGTTATAACTGTATATTGCAGTCTGTAAAACACACTGAACATTAAAAAACAAAGAGCATATAACATCAAAGAATATTTTCTCACATCTGTTCTCATAAATTTTTGTCAAATTCAGTGCGTTGGTGTCATCATGATGACTCTCAGATATACCAACCATGTCTGTAGTTAGCCTGGCCTGCCAGACTCCTCCTGCACAGAGTTAAACAGAGGAGGAGTCTGGCAGGCCAGGGTAGTAGGACCAGTTAGAACTTCTGTATTAGCAAATTTAAGCAATAACAACTCTGCACCTCCAGTTAGACCATGACTGCAGTATTGCAACATGAAGCTCTACTTAAGTAGTTTAATGACACAGCTCTGGTTTTATATATGTATACATGTTGCACTTGTAAGTAAAACCCTTAACCTGTTGACGGTAGACTAGAATCCTGATAACGACATTGCCACTAGGTGGCTGTCTGCAGCCACGATGCTGCTTGACTCTGTTTTCCCCAGCATCAGTCCCTGCTGTTCAGTCTTCTGACTACTGTGTGTTTTTCTTTGATGGCTTTGTTTTAGATCTGTTTGCTTTTGGCTGGTGGTGTGGGTTTAAGCTCTTAAATAACGCAAAGGACAGATGTCAGATCTTTGATGCACTGAAATATATAAAAATGTATTCTGTGAAGAAGTTCAGCGACTTCTGCATGAATTATTTTGCAGAATGTGTGGTTAGATCTTCTTCTTTCCCTGTTTTTAAATATTAATTAGACATTAAAAAAGACCACTAGTCAGGTCAGAACTAGGGCGGACTAGAGAGTTGTTGTGTAAAAAGAGGTTTACATCCCATTGATTTAGCATATTGAAGATATTTAGTTTCTGCTGGAGGCTTGGGTGGAATTAAACAATGCAAACCTGACTAATTTCTTCACACAATTAAACAAAATCAGCAAACCTTTAATTGTTTTTCTGGAGCAAATCCTGTAATGACATGCAAAGTAACACACTCATAAGCAAAGTCTTTTTAATATTTATAAAAAACACATTTTATTTACATAAATTACAAGAAAGCACAAACTGGTTCACCAAGAGTCTACATTAAAAACATCTTGTATATATTACATTGAACAGAATTACCATAATTTACTCAATTGTTGCAAGTAGAATCTTCAAAAACATGGGCTATATTCGATTTTATCGGCATCTCGTTTATAAAATGCTACGAGGCAAAGAACAAAGTAACTTTATCGGGACATTGTACTCACAGCACTCTGAGAACAACAAAGTCAGGACGATCGTCTGTGTGACCTCCTGCTGATCTGAGACGCGGTTTAAGGACTAGTGATTATATTACTCTGTTTACAACTAAAAGAAGAGCCCAGCTGATCGTTCACAAGGAGGATGTTGTGGAGTCCACCACCTCTCGGCCGTTACAAACAGTTGGAACAACGTTGGAAGCTGATGCTGAAAAACATCAAATCATTTCAGGATTTTTATTTTATTTTAACACAAATTGTTGATATTTAACGACAAATAAAAGCCTTTCTCCGATTTTCTTTAACTTAATAACCACCAAAAGCCACGGTGTCTCAGGTAAATTTGCAGCAAAATACTGCAACAGGAAATTAAACCTGAGAAATTGCTATTAAAGTAGTTACTATTACTATCATACAAGTAATTTATCCTATAAATTTCACTAAAAAGTGAATGTTAAGGCAATTTAAATAGGTAAAATGGTATTTGTGGAAGTACTGTATTAATAAATAGTATCTTACCTGTTGTAGATAACTTTTTAAAGGAGTGGAAAACTAACTTAATCAATACATTTGCAATTATTTCTAGTGGAAATGAATGTCTTGTAAGTTGTACGGGGGTGGGGGGTGAGCTACATAACAGCTGAGCTTCAGACAACAGGGTTTGTCTTATTTCCTGATATTTGGACATCTCTTCTCTGATTGGCTAACAGTAACACGACTCTGACTCCATTTGTTCTGCAACGTTGATGTTTCATCTCCACAAATAACAGAAGCCTGGAAGAGTTCTCCTGTGTGGTAGAGTTGCTAACGCTAACGGTTAGCTTCAACTAGTGGAGAAATTGTCTGCCTTCCCCGTCCGTCGTGAGTCAAGATAGGCGAGACCATGAATGTTAAGTGACAGTGTGACGTAAATCTGTGAGGATTTTCTAATCCTACAGTTTCCCCGTCTATTTTCTATCAGAAGCTAATGCAGGAGAAAGGTGTAGGAGACTATTTTCATGTTGAGCCTGCATGAAAAACTCAGTGACCAATTCTAATCAGAAATATTGATTAAAAGATAGTTGTATGTGTCCCACACCTTTAAACAATCTACGTTTGGAGGAATCCAGATTAATTCTGATTGGACAGGCAAGTTATTGACTTGTCAGTGAGGTTGGTTATGAAGCCAGTTCCTGTTGTCTTTAAACAGAAAAAGACATAGAGGTCCATTCACATTGTTTAAACCTTTACAGTGTTTTTAAATTCCAGCTAGAGGTGCTACACACTGAACCAGAAGAGCTAATTTCCTCTACAAATAACTGGTGGTGTAAAGGTTTTTGTAAAGGTTTGCATGAACTGAAATAATTATTTAAACGAAGCACAGCACATTCTCTTCTGGCTCTTGGAGAGTACAGACGCTTTTTTCTCCTCTCCCTCCCACTTATCCCAAGGCTCTTTGTCCTGTCTTGTGTGCACAGCGCTTTCTGCATTTTTTCTAAAAACTGGAAATTATTAAAATGGATCTGGTCAGCTGTTCTCTCAATGCGATTGACAAAATTTTTTCAACGATGAGAACAGGAGAAGGGGCTCCCGGATGCCCCTCTGGGACAGAGCCAGCTGGGCATATCATGGACTCCTGGAAACAGTGGAACCTGATATGCCTCTCTCAACTGTCTGTAGAGGATTCTGAAGATGTCTGGATATTCATGGTTTTGGTGTCAGGATTCCTGCTGTTTGGCCTGAGCAGTTACCTGGCTTACCGGAAAATTAACGAGCTTTCGAGGAATTTTGGCTCAATCCCGAAACTCAGAAATGGAATGCATCGTGCTGTGAACGCACAAACTCATATAATTGTCGAGATGAGTCGTAAGCTTGGAATTTTGGCTGAGATACAGGCTCTGGCACAAAAGGTGGATTCCATCAAGGACAGAGTTGTGGACGGATCAGCACGGATTGGGATTGATTAATTATGCCATTATTGGATCTAGAGGGGTTGTAGACCAAAAGAACTCTAAGGCAGAGAGGAAATTATCTTTGTCTGTACCCAAAACAATTCTTACTATCCGAGTCTGGTGCCCTTGGAGCCGGTGAGGCTGAAGTGTAAACTCCCCCCTCAGAAGAAATGTGGAATGCTGCAGTCGCTAGGCAACTCTTTCTCTCTCTCCCAGCCTGGGTGGGACTGTGACCGGTGAAGGCTGTGGAACCGTATCTAGGAGTCACTGTGCTCTCCAACCCATTAATCTCCCTCCCCTGTCCAAATGGAGGTGATAAGTGCTGCTCCATGCAGCTGCACGCACTGAAGTGAGGAGAGTCCCAACCCTACCTCCCCACCTAGAGGACACTTGTTGTGTAATGTCTGAAGTGTGTGTGCATATCTGTCTGAGGTGTTTTTTTGCATAGCAAAGCTGCCCTCTCTGTTGAGGGTAGCTATGAAGTGCCTTTTTCTCCCTCCCCCCGACTCTATCCTCATATAAACCCTCTTGATCTATTACGGTAGCGTGACTCGGGTTGCGAAGGACCACAGTCACCAATTCTTGTCATGTATGTATGTATGTATGTATGTCTGATCTCAGAAATGTGTGTACTGAAACTCTAATTTCCCTCTGGGATTAATAAAGTATTATTGAATTGAATTGAATTGAATTGAACTGAATTGAATTGAATTGAATTGAAAGAAGGAAGTAAGCCACTTTAACTGCTGTTACCTTGTCAATCAATCAATTAAAGGGAGACTAGGCAGTTTTGGCTTGCTTTTAGCACCCCCTAGTGTCCGTTAGGTTTTGCTTTTGGATCTACTATCTCTTTGCCGTGTGTTTGTCTTTTTAACACCTTAATCTAACAGCTGAAAATTATCCCCAGACTTCCTTAGTGTCTACAGGAGTATTCATCACTAAATCAAACAAATCAGCTGTGTTCATGATCTAAAACATGCAAGAAACGGGCTGGAAGCAGACTGCAGCGCCAGGTATGTCAGCTCAATTATTTCTAAGTCCAACAGATGGGACCGTGGAATATTCTGACCACAGGGGGCGATAGCGGCTGGGTGGCCTTTCATTAACCCTGTAAAGGGTCGTTTTAGCACATACTGGCTCAAGAAAATGATTTTAAAACATTCCTTTAATGGTGTTCAGGAGCTATCTAGAACAGGCAAGATATTAATTCTCCGTACCCTTTTTGACAGAAAATAAAATCATTGCTTGTTATAATAAGATACATTTCATGAATAGTTTTGAATAAGCTGGTATCCGAAACTTTAACTGTGTTGTACATCAGGCGTTACCTTGAGAAAAGCTGGAGGCCGGGCCGGTATTGACGCTGAAGCGGGTGGTGGCCACTCTGAGGGTGCAGACATTCTTCTGTGGCTGGAACAGAATGATGTGGATTTTTGGAGCAAAGAGGCAACCCAGCACCACTGACCCGCTGAGACTGACAGAGATGCACATGGTGGTAGTCTGCACCTGCATGGTGAAAAAGATGCACAAATAAATTACCTGGCACTATAATGTGTTCCAGATGTCTGCATTTAAGCCCTAAACTAATAGTGTAGACAGTTACTGAGTAAAGGATCTGTACGAGCCCTATCATCAGTGGCAGATTACTGGAGTCGCCTTTTCTTTCTTTAAAGAAACGATTTCTAGCAGTGAGAAAATGTTTCATCAACAGACCTTTTGTAATTCAAAATCAAAGCCAGGTGTAAGAGTGGAGGCAGTCAGAAGGGTGCTACCATCAACCAGACAAGGAAGCAGTGTGTTTATTTGCTTGTCAATCAGCTGCAGAGCCATGAACATGCCTCGTCTCGGTGCTGTTTGTACCCAGCCTGCTCTGTCTTTTCCAAGCCTTTCTCAGCCTTCTTTGTGCCCCGCTTAATGAGAGGATTCAGCTCTCTGCTGTGTGGTATGTGACAAGAGCAGGTTTTTTTCTTTTCACAAGACACAGCAGGTGTTTGCCATTGCCCTGAATGTTAATGTTGGATTTCAAATGGTGTGAGCACCAAGTGTTGTGCTGCACACAAACTGTTCTGCCATGACGATAACATTAAGTAACAGCAAGAGAACAGAAGCAGCTTATTCGATTGAATTAAACTGAATTCACTGAGCAATTTGTTGTTGCACCTGATCAGAACTCGAGCGGTGTTTTGTTATTGGACTTCTGTGCAAGCCGCAGTTTGGCCATAACGAACACCATGTTCGAACATAAGGATGCCCACCGGTACACTTGGTACCAGGGCAGCCTAGGTCACAGGTCGATGATAGATTTTGTAGTCGTATCATCTGACCTGCGGCCGTATGTTTTGGACACCCGAGTGAAGAGAGGGGCGGAGCTGTCAACTGATCACCACCTGGTGGTGAGTTGGATCAGATGGCAAGGGAACATGCCGCGTAGACCTGGCAGACCCAAACGCATAGTGAGGGTCTGCTGGGAACGCCTGGCAGAAGAACCTGTCAAGACGGTCTTCAACTCCCACCTCCGGCAGAGCTTTGACCACGTCCCGAGAGCAGTGGGGGACATTGAGTCCGAGTGGGCCTTGTTCCACTCTGCGATTGTCGAGGCGGCTGTTGCTAGCTGTGGTCGTAAGGTGGCCGGTGCCAGTCGTGGTGGCAACCCCCGTACCCGCTGGTGGACACCAGAGGTTCGGGGAGCCGTCAGGCTGAAGAAGGAGGCCTACAGGGCGTGGCTGGTCTGTGGGTCTCCGGAGGCAGCAGACAGGTACCGGATAGCCAAGCGGGGTGCAGCAGTGGCAGTTGCCGAGGCAAAATCTCGGGCGTGGGAGGAGTTTGGTGAGGCCATGGAGAAAGACTATCGATCGGCTCCAAAGAGGTTCTGGCAAACTGTCCGGCGCCTCAGGAGAGGAAGGCAGCAACTCGCTCACACTGTTTACAGTGGGGATGGGGAGCTGCTGACGTCAACTGAGGCTATAGTCGGACGGTGGAAGGAATACTTTGAGGAGCTCCTCAATCCCACCAATGCGCATTCCGAGGAGGAACCAGAGCTGGGAGGCCTGGGGATGGACTGTCCGATCTCGGGGGCAGAAGTTGCTGAGGTAGTCAAACAACTACACAGCGGCGGAGCCCCGGGGGCGGATGAGGTTCGTCCTGGGTATCTCAAGGCTATGGATGTTGTAGGGCTGTCATGGTTGACACGTCTCTACAACATTGCGTGGTCATCGGGGGCAGTTCCTAGGGAGTGGCAGACCGGGGTGGTGGTCCCCATCTTTAAGAAGGGTGACCTGAGGGTGTGTTCCAACTATAGGGGGATCACACTCCTCAGCCTCCCTGGAAAGGTCTACGCCAAGGTACTGGAGAGGAGGGTCCGATCGATAGTTGAATCTCAGATAGAGGAGGAGCAATGTGGTTTTCGTCCTGGCCGTGGAACTGTGGACCAGCTCTATACCCTTGCAAGGGTGATGGAGGGGGCATGGGAGTTTGCCCAACCAATCCACATGTGCTTTGTGGATTTGGAGAAGGCTTATGACCGTGTCCCCAGGGGCACCCTGTGGGGGACGCTCCAGGAGTATGGGGTGGGTGGCTTTCTGTTAAGGGCCATTCAGTCCCTTTACCAGAGGAGCGTGAGTTTGGTCCGCATAGCCGGTAGTAAGTCGGACCTGTTCCCAGTGAGGGTTGGACTCCGCCAGGGCTGCCCTTTGTCACCGGTTCTGTTCATCACTTTTATGGACAGAATTTCTAGACGCAGCCGTGGTGTGGAGTGTGTCGAGTTTGGTGGCAGGAGAATCTCGTCTCTGCTTTTTGCGGATGATGTGGTCCTCCTAGCTTCATCCAGCTCTGACCTTCAGCTCTTGCTGGGTAGGTTCGCGGCCGAATGTGAAGCGGCTGGGATGAGGATCAGCACCTCCAAATCTGAGACCATGGTTCTCGACCGGAAAAGGGTGGCTTGCCACCTCCGGGTCGGGGGAGAGGTCCTACCTCAAGTGGAGGAGTTTAAGTATCTCGGGGTCTTGTTCACGAGTGAGGGTAGGAGGGATCGGGAGATCGACAGGCGGATTGGTTCGGCGTCTGCAGTGATGCGGACGCTGAGCCGATCTGTCATGGGGAAGAGGGAGCTGAGCCAGAAAGCCAGGCTCTCGATTTACCGGTCGATCTACGTCCCAATCCTCACCTATGGTCATGAGCTTTGGGTAATGACCGAAAGAACGAGATCGCGGATACAAGCGGCCGAAATGAGTTTCCTCCGTAGGGTGGCCGGGCTCAGCCTTAGAGATAGGGTGAGGAGCTCGGACATTCGGGAGGGACTCGGAGTAGAACCGCTGCTCCTCCGGATCGAAAGGAGCCAGTTGAGGTGGTTTGGGCATCTGGTCAGGATGCCTCCTGGACGCCTCCCCGGGGAGGTGTTTCGGGCATGTCCTGCCGGCAGAAGGCCCCCGGGTCGACCCAGGACACGTTGGAGAAGTTACATCTCCAATCTGGTCCGGGAACGCCTTGGGGTCCTGCCGGAGGAGCTGGTGGACAAGGCCGGGGAGAGGACGGCCTGGAGCTCCCTAGTTGGGATGCTGCCCCCGCGACCCGGACCCGGATAAGCGGAGGAAGACGACGACGACGACGACGACGACGAATTTGTTGCTACATCCACAAACACAAATTTCAACTAAGTAACGAATAACAGGACTGCAGGAATCGTTTATTCACAGTTTTTGTATATTTTCTATTTTTTTCTGTAGCGCTTTGTTATTTTTTTGTGATTGTGCTGCAGGAATCCCTGTTCTTAGAACACTGTTTCTGAGATTGCTTTTCGACTTTGACTCCCCCAGACCTAAATGTATGTTTTTTTTAAAGAGCAAGTCACCTCCTATCAGAATCTTACTCCACTCCCACCTCCTGTTTGATAATAACAACAAATGCTGTTGCCTGGCAAAGCGAGAGGGCAGCGCCGTTAACACACACACACACACACACACACACACACACACACACACACACACACACACACACACACACACACACACACACACACACACAGGCTCACAACGACATTGTGACATCATAATGTACCAGCTAATGTTATAGTGTACTTCTTAGCCAATAGCAATAGCAGTTTTTACCTGAAGAGGGCGCAACACTGACAGTTTAGCCTTTACATAAAACATATGTAATTAAAATTCTATGTGATTTTGTCTGTAGGTCAGCTGGCTTTTACATCAGGCTGTTATCTTCTATCTGTGGTGCAAACATATTAGATAAAAAGGCCTTTGCAGGTAACTAATCTAGCTATTATGCAAGATTAGATTATGCAAAACTCTCCTTTTGCATCCATTAGTGTTGCCATGTGGGTCTTTACTGCCTCCGTCTAAGATGAGATTCCAAAGATTGCTACCAGGCTACCTCTGACCACCACTAACACAGGCAAGTTGGGTGAAGTGTCGTGCCCAAGGACACAACAGCAGAATACCCCTGGCGGGAGTTGGAATCGAACCGATGACCCTCTGATCACGAGGCAACCTGCTCTAACACCTGAACTACTGCGGCCCTGTTCCACTGTTTCTCAGTGAAGAAGACCTTTAATTGAATTTCCTACCTCCTCTTAGGTTGTGTCATATGTGATTCGTGATTCTGTCATTAGGAGCCGCCTCACCACCACCACATGCATCACAAGCTACACAAGCAGTTTCTTGTTTGACTTTGGGGGTTTTTGCCGTTTAACTGAGCAATCATGACCAAATCACTTTACTGATCCCCGCGGTTCTAAAATCCAGAAACGTAAATGTCATTGAGCTAATTCTTAACTAGGTTTAAGTTGATCCCCGGACAGTCCTGCACAGGAAGAACCTGTTAAGTGGTTTTAATAATTAACGGGAGGTTTCTTTGGAGGAGAGCCTGTTATGTCTCCAGGTTTGTGGAGTGGGCATGAAGAACAGGATGGCTGCTGCAGTGTCTACCTGTCCCTGGTTTTTATGTCAACTTCTCAATGCACTGATGTATTTTACAAACATTTGTTTTATTAATTCAGTCAAGATGAAACTCCTCTTTCTTCTGTGGCATAAATGTAACTGAATCTATCGTGCAGGACTTGTCTAACCTTACTGCCACATGATGGATCACAACTAATCTCTCTAGATAAAATCCATTTCTGGTGTCACCAGATGAACCTTAAGTGAGGTAAAGCTGTTGTGATCTAGAGAAGATTTTCTTACCTATCTTGATTGAGATTTTCTGTTTATACTAGCTGTAGTTCATGCAGTGATTTTATAGATGTACTATCAACTCTAATCATGGTGGAAATGTGAAATGACCAGCAGTCAGGGCAGAGGAAGCGGGGGCCACCTTAATATGGTAACCAACAGCGTTATTCATGGATCAGTAGACTGTGTTTAGCCCAGGGCCGACTGCAGTCCAACAGCTGTATGAAGATTTGCATCAGGCTGGGACAACAGTTTAAGAAGTGGTGTAAAACGAGGAGATCACGGGTTGTCTGTCAGTGCACGTGAAAAACGAGACATTCTGCCAACTGAGTTGCTTCAGTAAATTATTCATCTTTGCGTCTATCTAATGAGTCCACTCAGCCTGTGAGTCGTGTTGCCGAAAGTGACTGGAGGAAGGGCGCCTCTGAGCATCGCTGGAGTCCCAGGATGGAAGGAGCTCAGCTGGGACTCAGCATCCCAGGCTTTCACACTCCATTCCACACAGCTACGCACAGGGGCACACAGAGACGTTCAGTGCTCTCATCCCTCATGGTCTTGCCCACCGTTTCCATGCTGCTGCAAAGGCAGCTGTGTCAGGAAGCTCCTCTGCCTGTTTCCTCCATTCTGTTTTGTTCTTGTTGCGTGCTGGTCAGCTCCCCGAGGACAACCCCTCGCTACCGAGGCCAACCTTTACTGTGCACTTCTATCAGTTTAGTTTAGATATTTACTCTGGCTTAGTATTTTTTTTTCATGTCCTTGTTCTATCTTAAAATCACTATTAAATATACCATATATGGTATATGGTATATATACCATATTTAAGTTGTTTCGTTAAACTCTTATTTATGCAAAGCTGCTTCCTATGAGTCATACCCACCTGCACACACACACACACACACACACACACACACACACACACACACACACACACACACACACACACACACAGAGAGAGAGAGAGAGAGAGAGAGAGAGAGAGAGAGAGAGAGAGGCAAAAACTAGACTTTCACCTTTGAATTCCCACCTTTAACCCGTGAACTGAAAACAACCAGAATAGTTGAGTTTAAATGTAACTTTCCACCCAACATGATTGAGACGTTAGACAGTTTGGGGATTTTTTACTTACGGCGCCTTTAACTTTACAATTTTGTCTCTTGGTTGTATCATTTTCATAACCATGTCTGGTGTTTGTCGGGATGACTTTAACCGTTTCCTGGTTCATGAAAGCACACACGCAGAACACTTGCAGGCCACAATCACTGGTTGCTGTCAGTAGAGCCAAAACTTTTGCGGATGATTAATCCACATATTTTGGGTAATGACTTTCTGTTTTTGCTCACTTCTGGCACTCATCAGTAACACACTCAGCCACAACACACACTCAACATGCAGACTTTGAACAGGCATCGTACTGACGCATACAAATCACACACTCCAGCTCTGAGAAAGTCACGATCTACAAGGATGCATTCTACTCAGATTTTAGAAACCCTCGACCATCTGAACAAATTCTTTATAACAAATGATAATCACAAGATGTGCTTGCGGTATTTGTTTTCTTCTTGAAAAACGCTGATGCAGACGGATTTATCTTACCCTGTAGTCACTGGCAGTAACGTAGAAAATGGGTTGGAAAGCCAGCCAAATGATGCAGGTGGTATACATGGTAAACCCAATGAACTTAGCCTCGTTGAAGTTCTCCGGGCATTTGCGGGTCTTGAAGGCGTAGACTGTGCAGAGAATAATGAGTATGCAGTTGTAGGTGAGAGACATGAGCATGCTGGAGTCCTTGCTGTTACACTTCAGGGTGACCACATCTCTCTTCTCCGGACTCACTTCTTTTCTCACGCCTGGAGCCTCTACCAACATCCAGACCACCACAACTACTAGCTGGCAGGAGATCAGAGCACCACAAATAGCAACCTGAGATGCAGGACTGATAAACCGAGGCCTCTGGGCTCCATCCTTCACGCCACTGAAAATCCTTGCGATGCGATTGGTCTTGGTGAGGAGAGCTGAGTAGCACACAGCAAACGAGGTACCTAAGCCTAACCGACGCAGTGTGCATACTGCTGTGGAAGGCTTGGCAATGTAGATGAATGTCATGCTGTAGCACATCAGCACCCCCAGCAGAAGAATGTAGGAGAGCTCCCGTCCACTGGCCTTTACTACAGGTGTCTGATTGTGTTTCAGGAAGAGGCCGATGACGAATAGTGTGCTCATCATTCCTAGACAGGAAATGGTGACAGGCCCAATAGCCCAGGCGTCCTCCCAGTGGATGTACTCCTCAGGCAGGTCGTAACAGCCTGTAAGATTAGCCAGGGGCCACTGTCCAAAGCTGCAGTCAGCACAGGTGAACTCGTCGTGCAGGTACTGGTAGGGCTGACACGGGATGCAGATCCAGCAGCACACATCTCCTGGCTGCATACTCTTCACCTCATTCTTCCTACAGGGGTCACTACATTGAGAGGTAGGCACAACTTGGCCAGCCCAGGGGATCAGGCTGGTGTTTAGGGTCAGGCCTTGAGCCCAGTAGCCCACACTGCGGTAGACATAGCGTTCACCCTCTTTGTGGTAGTGGAAAATGTTGTAGCGGCCAACGCTGTCCCCAAAGGCATCAAAACGGACGACATTCTCTGTGTCTGGGGGTCGAAAGGGTGCTGAAAGGGAAGGACAGGAAGTGTTATACATAACCTTTCTGCTCCGGGTTAAACACTGATCAATAAAAACACACACATTCATTTTTCACTTATTGTTCAAGGACACATGTAATTACGTTCATTCATACAAGAAAACTTCTACAAAGCATGTCGGTCTACCTTTGTAGCTCCTTGGGGTGTTGTGATACCTTGTGATAGGATAATTCATGACCTCTAGTTCTTTTAAGCCTCTAGACAGTTAAATCCATTGGGATTATTTCTTTTTAGAAATAGTGAAGAACAGAAAAGCACAGCTGGATAAGAGCACAGTGGACCCCTTTACTTCCCATCAGTGAAAATGTCAGTATTTCCATAAATCGAAGGATAAGCAAAAGTGAGAGCATTTGAATTGGCAAGTCTGCCATTAGTGATGTGAGGATGAGTTACAGCAGCTCACTCTTTGTGTTGACGCTTTGAGCAGAGAAGAGAAAAACAAATGTAATTTCCTCCACTCACACACTTTTATAAACTGAATCGTTTCTAAAGGAATCTGCAGCAGCAGTGCAGAAAGCTGAAGAATTACTTTTCCACAAATTAAACATTTAAATTGGCACGATTCATTTAAACAGATCCCTCACGAGAACTTTAGTTTCTTGCATATTAAATAAAGAAATAGATAGGGTTCACTTTTGCATTAATAAATGTAAAATACGTTCATTACATACGCACGAGACCTTACTCACCATCAAACTTGACTTTGAGGATGTAGTCCCTGTAAAACTTGCGGCCGTTGCCAGGCATCAGAGCCTCGCACACCTTGGTGGAGTTGGGGCACAAGGCCTGTCTCATGTTGTGCAAGGCATTAGCCATAGCGTAAACAGCATTCACCACAAACATGATCTTTGATTCTGGTTGGAATGGAGCTTCACGGAGGGAGTGCTTTCCACAGCCCAGGTCATGGAGACTGCACTGGAACTGGTTTTCCCAAAATTCTCTGAACCAGGGATTCCGGGTGTTGTTGTACGGATGCAGCACGGTGAAGTAATCATTAAACTGAGGGATTTCATAAGAAGCGAGTTCAATAGTGAAAGCCCCGTTGGCCACCGATTCGCTTCCCCTCACCACGCTCTCCTGCGCTCCCCAGCCATCACTGGCCACCCAGGTGAAGGAGACGTTCATGCGGTTGGCTGCCACCAGCAGCTCTCTGGCGTCTTCGCTGCGTGTGAACAAGACCACCACCTTGGCGTTGGATTTCTGCTGAAGGGAGCGGATCACGTTCTCGTAACTCATTGAACGGCTCATCGAACGGCTCACCTTGGCTGAAGTGGCAATGCAGATCTGACGGGCACGAGCCTCCTGCTGAAAGGCGTCAATACCAGTTTCACCGTAGTCGCCTTCCGAGGCGACCGTTGATACGTAGGTCCAGTTAAAGTATCGCAGGATTTCTGCCATGGCCTTGGCCTGATAGAAGTCAGGGGGCACCGTCCGGGCAAAGTAGTCATAGCGAGTCTTGTCACTTAGTTTAGCACTCGTAGACGCGTAGCTGATCTGAGGGATTTGGAAAAGCCGCAGCAGGTTCGCCACCTGCAATAGAGAGAAAACAAACAAACATCTGGTATTTAACTCAGTCTTTGCACCGGTGCAACAATTCATCATTAAGGTCATCTCATTATAGAAACATGACACTGTTACAAAAGTTATACAGAAAGCACGTGTGCCTGAATTGTTTTGGGCATCTTTCAATAAATGAATGAAACTAGCTAGACTACTTGTTTTCCTCCCGCTGAGGCAATTAGTCTCTCCCCATTTGGCCTCTCATTTCTTCATTGGATCCCTGCTGGCTGCTTTGGATCTTAAACCTCCTGCTGACTCAATGGTGTGCTCCTGCTTGAAACCGTTGTTGGGGATGGTTCATTTACCTAATCATTCATGATGTGGAATGCTACAGAAAACTAAACGGTGAATACTCACGTAACAATAAAAGACATTTGTTACAAAAACCAAAATTTTCCCTAAAGTTTTTGCTGCCTTGAAGAGAAGAAAGCTGACAGAGGACGTTCAGGGCAGGGGGATTGAAAAGGATTCAAAGTATCATGAAAGTATAAAGTGGAAACTTTATAAAGTGAAAGTAAATAAATCAACTAAAACTAAAGCTAAAACTGCTAAAATTGGATTGAACAGTTCTAAGGCATTATGGAAACCTGGAAAGGTAGCAACAAATTGTCTCTTTATTGGAATAAATTTGGATGGCAAACCTTCTGGAACAGTTGTGCTTGGTGAAATATCTCTGCTGGAAATTAAAAAAAACTACCTTTGAAGCTGATTAGATAATTTAATTTACGTCTGCAACAGATATATATATATATATATATATATATATATATATATATATATATATATATATATATATATATATATATAGGGCAGGGGGATTGAAAAGTATTCAAAGTATCATGAATGTTAAAACTTTGCATTTTCTCCTGAACAGGTTGTGCCTGTGTTGTGACAGGCGAAGAAGCTACGGACTCGTTTTTGCTTCAGGCACTTTTGTGGATGCCTAAAGGGAAGCTAGTCTCTTAATTCAAAGCAACACAAACCTTCAGTTGACTCCTGAATGCCAATGACTCGTTTATGAGAAGGTTAGAACGGAAAATCCCATTTTAAAGTTATTTTTATTTCAAGGTTTTCTTTTTTTATGTAAAACTGAATATTTCTTGGGAGAAAACTGTTTAACTGTAATGTTAATTACAGTAGGAAAAGCTTCCTGCTGAAACTAAATCTGAGGGAAATCTTTAATAAGCATTTAATAGTTTGTTCTAATAAACAAAATGACCAACACATCATTTCAGTGAATAAATGCAAAAAGATGTTTTGCATAAAAATCTGACACAAGCATTCTTGTGTAAAATTGTGCAGTGTATTTTTTTTGTGTGTGTGTTTTTCTCATACAGTATTTAATTAGTTTTAATGTCCTGCTCTGTTGGTGAATTTCATTTCCACTTGGAAGTTGGAATTTTTGAGTTACAGTCGGAAAAACGGAATAGAAATCCCCCAAAGTTGGGATTCCAACTTCAAAAGTCAAGAGATTTCAAACGAGGCCCGGCCTCACACAATTAAGTAGCTTAATATGTTATTTTTACTTCTGTCTGCTTGTAACTCAGTTGCACACCCTGACCAAAGCTGCAGGTTGACATGTTACTGTTAAAATGACTACATTTCATTTCAGGTCACTAAGCTTAACTCGAACCAAGTAAGTTCAGGTCTGACGTTAAATCACAGATCTTAGTCAAAAGGAGATCCAACGTTTAACCGACGTGTTTCCTTTGATACATCTCCCACATCACCCAGTCTGCAGGACTTCTGGGTAAAACCAGATCTCATTTAAATGACTCTTCTAAAAAATACCTCTTATCGAGCTGCTCTGTCATTGTCTGATCGGGACAAAGCATCAAGAAAAGCATCACTTTTTCCTCTTTACTTTTTTCAAACTTGTTTTTCTCTGAGCAGACAGCATGTGATGGTACAGAGGAACAGATTGGTCCACTCAGTCAGTGATATACTTTTGTGAAGCAAAACGGCATTAAAGAGCAAGTCACCCCCTACCAGAGTCTAAAGCCTGGGGCCCACAGGACGCCCCACTTCAGAACAGGAAGCTGGAAGTGACTCTATTGTTAATACGTGATCAGACTTGCTGTCGTGTTTTGTGAGACTCTAATTCATTAACAATGTGTAAGTACGCTATTTATTAGAACATTTTATGATCAATAGTACGGGTCCGCCTCCGGTGTGCCCCAGGCTTATCTCCACCCCCACTTCCTGTTTGAAAAATGCAACATATGCTGTTGTCTGGCAGACAGAGAGGGTGGAGCCGCTAACACACACACACACATAGGCTCTCAATGACATTGTGACATCATAATGTACCAGCCAACATCATAGTGTACCTCTTAGCCAATAGCGATGGCAGATTTAAATTGAAGTGCACATTTTTTACCTGAAGATGGCACAACACTGACAGTTTTAGGCAGAATTTTTACATTTTCACTAAGATGCACTAAAGTGCCAAATTACTGACTACACGTTTCTACAGCACACTCATTTATAATTTATCAGCAAAATAAAGTTCATTTGTGGGTGACTTGCTCTTTAAACAAACGAATGAGCTGCATTACTTGTGCATTGACTCAAACCACTCTGAGGATGTTTTCAGTGAGTTGAACCATGAAAAAACAGTGGTCTGGAGTCTTAAGTACCATTTATTAGATATTTCAGCTCACTCACTCACGGACTGCAGCACCAACATTAGCTGTGCTTTACCTGAAACACGTAGCTCAACCCAGGCTGCAGAATCCTTTCATTTGCAATTTTAGTATCACCTGTGTTTTTGAAAATGTTCAGTAACAGGGAGGCTGTTTCCAATTAAAAGGACTAATGAAACAGTAACTATTGTGCCTGATTGACTGTGGAGCTATTTTTAGTTTATTTATGGTGTAGTTAAAGTGACAGAGTGTATTTTTCCTGGCAATAGGGGGCAGTAGATACCTAAATTATTGCAAGCAAGCTGCATTTTTGTGTTGCAACAGATGCCCGTTAGGGTCAAAAAGCCCTGGGGAGTGCAAACATCAGCAAAATAATAAGCACACCAGACTCCCTTTCATCACTGACAATAAGTGAAGAGGTAAATGTGTAAAACAATGGTGAAAGTTTTGTAATCGTTTGTTACAAATGCATTTTGTCCTCAAGTGCTCCCGTAGAAGGAAATATGGCATCTAATGTGGCGTCGCCCAGAGACAGACCCACTCCCAGGTATTTTAGACCTGATGTTTATGGTTATATGTTAAGAAGCCGCCAATAGTTTTCAACAACTGGACATCATTTCATTCATTTTCAACATCATTTTGATTGATAATTCCAGAGATTAACAATAAAAACTACACATTGCCCCTTTAATTAATACAAATAGATCATCAAGACTATTTCAACAGGAGTTCTAGGTTGATTTCCTCAGAAGGAGTCAGAGAAAGCCTGACCATCCAGACAGGATCACCGTATGGTTGTGCTTCTCTGAGCTGTGTTGACAGCCTTTCTCAGCCCGTACAGGAACAACTGGTGGTGGAAAAAATAACAGCAATATTAACACTGATTACTTCAGATTACATAATCCCTCCTGACACAACAATTAACATTTTACAAATTCTAGTGAATGTTTTTCATAATCATTTCATTGAACCAGGTTAAAGTTCCTTTGAACGCGATACTGATGACAAATCTTTTCTTTTTTTATTTAGGAGATCTTCATATTTTTTATACTTTTTATTTTTAAAATCCTCATTTTTCTTTTCTAACTGCAGCGAAACCTTTTAGGATACAAACAAGTATTTTTTTTTTTGTAACTTTGCAAGTCTGGTGAAGAAAATATTGCTTAAAATTCAGCTATTAGCTGATGAGACAAAAATACAAAGCAACACTCTTTTATTTGCTAAAAGGTAAATTATTAGATTATTTAACCTGAAACATTTGCGTCATTGACAGTAGGTTCTTTACAAGCTTGCATAGGTGAAGTAATAGAATTGCAGCTATAAAAGGAGTGTGTGAACATTTGGTCTCTCCTTTTTCTAAAAGACTGAGTTTGTGCTGCGAGGAAGACACAAAAGTTTCTTTTGGGATTTGAATCCAGGTCGTTAGAAGTAAAAGTTGTTTAGAAACAGACCAGAACTGTTTTAGTGTCGAGGTATTTTTGACAACAAGGTGCACAGGAACAGAATCTCTGGATCTCTGCAACACCCATATACTGATGGAGTAAAAGTCAAAGATGCACAACATAGCAGACATACTTATTATAATATGATGATCTGCAGTGGGAATGCAGCCTTAGTTATCCAGCTCAGTGTTGACATTAAAATGTTTGCCTTAGCATCTCTTTTTAACTTCTGATAAATGCAGTGGCCCAAGTTTGCCATGAGGGAGGCACTAGCCCACCCTGGACAACCCCCCAGAGTTGCCCCTGCCTGAAACTTTAATTGAAATCAAAATTGTGTCTAAAAGCACCACGGATAAGGTCAAACTAGATCATTAGGTACTGTCTTTTTCATGACCTTTATTAGTGTTGATTTAAATGAAATGATTCTCAGTTTACTTGGATTCTCCTTTTTTATGGGATTCTTATAAATAAAGATCTCATTTTAAAACCTATTTGCACAGCTGATTACACATTACAGATATTGTTTTAGAGTCATACCACCGAAGAAAAACCAAAGTGATGCGTGTCTGTGTTTGGTTATGAGATAATGAAGAGCAGGTGGGACAGGAGGGATGAGACGGGGGCTGTTAGGTGTGGGTAGTGCGGCTTTTCTGAGTTTGTTTTATCAAACTAACTTTTGGTTCGAAACACTTCTCTGAAAACATTTTTTTGTATTGTAAAAATGTCAAGTAAATATAGGAAATATCTTATTAAACAGTGTATTTTTCTGTTCTATACAATAGGAGAACATGGTGGAGTCTCAGAGGCTCCAAAGCTATAGATTTTTTAAGAAGTGTCAAGTTTAGTTCGGCTGATTATGTCTGTAGGCAGTAGGGAATAGTCT